CAATATAAATGACATCTAACAGACAATAATGCCAAGGAATGTATAGGGAAAGTTATTAGAACCAATGTAATGTAAATAAGAAAGAAAAGTGGGTGAGAAAGGTTCAGCTGATTATTCTTAGCTTTCCAGATATCATGCTTACAGCTGTTCCAATGACACACTCACAGTATACGTATTATGTGGCACATGTATATTTATTTTGCCGGGCAACTACTTCGGGATCCGATGAGTTAAGCTTCTCCGCTCTACTGCACTGTTGAGCAGCATTTGCACTCTCCTTCTCCATGGCTATACCACAGTGGCAAACGCCAATCAGAGACGCTATCAAGCAGCTCCAGCGCTGTGTCAGATGGCAACTGCACAGGGAAGGCGCCCGCGTCAGCGTCCATATGTCTACCAAGGCTATGACGGCACTCTTCTGGAAAGCGCACACCGGCGGCGGCGGCGTATCATTGCGCATGCGCAAACCAGTGCCACGTGAAATTGGCTCAGCGAGGCCAGTGTAGCTAACGCTACAAAAATAACTTGACATGTTAGCTCAGTGGTAGAGCATCGAACGCGTTATTCGAAGGTCGTAGGTTCGATTCCTGCTCCGGAGAAGTTTTTTTTTCACCCACTTTTCTTTCTTCTTATTTACATTACATTGGTTCTAATAACTTCCCCTATACATTCCTTGGCATTATTGTCTGTTAGATCTCATTATATATATATATATATATATATATATTATATAATATATATATATATATATATATATATATATATATATATATTATATATACACTAAACATTCACGAGGCCGCATGCTAACAACTCCGACTCAGCATTTTCATCGTAGTTCATTATTACAAATGAAATATTGATGCCCTATTAATCTTCATGTTCCAAGGCTTTCATCAACATCATCATTATGACCTTTCAAGGCCAATTTGCTTGCCCACAGCTCTACTTCAATGTGGCCCTCATCATATTTATCGACATTTATCATCATTATCAAAGTGTTCATGGTTATGCTCAAACTTGTTTCCATCATCAGCAGTAGCACTGTTCAAGAGGCCTTTGCTTGTTAATGGCTCTGCTTCAATGTGCTGATTACTACTCTCCAAGTCTGAACATTTGCTTCTGCTAGTTGACTCGACAATATAACGGCATGTATGTCTTAATGACATGATGGGAGATGTAATTAAAAAAAGTTTTTTTAATCTGTAGTCTAAGGCAAGAAACTATTGTTGTTTACATAGGTTTTTATGCTGATTTCAAATATATAATCAGTTTTATTGTAAGTTGCATGGTTTTTTTTTTTCTATGACAATGCATAAAATATGGCTTTTTGTGGACAAACTTTTTTTGCCACCTAAGTTTTAAAATTATGACTGATTAATGACTCATATTACCCTGCATTAACTGTACACTGTAGATAAATATCAAGAAAATCTGTTTAATACATTTAATTGAACAAAAAAAGTAATGTGAGAGGTCTTAGACTGCTCAGCCCAGAATTGCTTCCTTTAATGTATATATCATGCTTTAAAGGAGATAATTGTACTTTTCACATGTTCAGCAATATGTGGCAAAAACTTTATCAAACTTTATCTTGATTTGGCTATTAGAAGTAAAAAGCATGATGTTCATAGTCCAGGAAATTTCCATATTTGCATCTCAAGAAAAACGTAGAATTGAAAGTTAACCTGTATGGCAATACCAACATTTTAAATAGATTTTAAGGCAATGTGTTGGCTAGCCTGATCGTACTATACTGACATGTTTTGTCCACACATGTAGATAGATACATGTAGGGTTAAAATTTACAGTATGCAGTCAGTAGTAAAGAGAACACAACAGATTTTTTTTTCATCCAATAAAAATGGTAAATAAGTAAATAACATAAGAGTGACATGATGTAACTTGATGCTATGCTATCATAGGAGAGTCACTTCAAGAGGAGACACATGAGGACAAAGTGGCTGTCAACTACGTATACAAACTTATTTTGACTACTACAAAACATGAAAAATTTTACTGAACATTTTTCTTGAAAAGGTTTTGTCATTTCATAAGGAGTATAATGTTGTGAGGCAGAGACAATTGCAAATTTTTAAGAATGCTCGCACTAACAATCTGGAAAGCAGAATCTGTGCGACACCATGGTGATTGAGAATTAACAAAGTAATGGAAGTGTTAATAAGCACACTGTCTTCCTCATCATCTCTAGCCTGCTAGTCTTGGTATTTGTCATTGTGAAAATCACTAGAATTGAAGAAGTAAATAATCCTCAGACAACACAACATTGTGTAACACACAAAAGTGAATAAACTTAAGAACAACTTGAAAGAACGTAACATGAAGATTACACTAATAACCTTCGGTAAGTACCCTCACTACATTTTTGTTAGAGGTTGCCGATATGAAAACGCAAAATGAAGAAAATGTCCACTACTGATGGACACAGCTTTGTGTCACTCTGTGACTAGCCTTTAAAGGTGCATAGGGCACTGCATCACGAATTCCATAGGGAGAGGATTACCACTTTTGAGTGCTCTCGCGTTTTGAAGAGGTTATGAATTAGTAACATGAAACAAGCAATGTCCATAAAAAGCCAATGTGGCTCCTCAATCTTTTGCTGCGTTAATATTTCCACTAATGTGAAATATATTATATGTACGTAGTGACATAGTACATTGGTCTAACGCTGCTAAAATAACACGGTAGACATGATATTGCATAAGAATTTGGTGTGAAGTATGAATTGTATTCATTTTTAATGCTGTTACATTCAAACCATAACTTGATATCATCAGGCACTACAAACAGTGTAGTGAACAGCTAAACAGTATCTGATTATGTAAGCTGTGTCATTTACAATGAATAAACCATTAATACTAGCAGAATAGATACAGTGCAAGTTAAGGCATCAAATAAAGACAAAGTGTCGCACACGTAATACCTGAAATGATTTGCCATTCTGACTACACTATCCACGAATTTATAATTTATATAAAATTAGGCAAAGTAACAAGGCCACCTTTCAGGTGAGAAAAATATAAAACTTTCAGCTGTGTCATAAGCTCACGGCGATGGACTGACTTGATCATCACAAGTGCACTCGTGATCTTGTGAAAATGAGCCATGGTGTTCAAAGAAAAAAAAAAGTGCACAAGGTATTGATGCACGCTGATGCACGGGTGTACCTTCTTTCCCCCTAGTCATCCCCCTCTGTGTACCTTTCAGTGCACTTGCTGGGACGAAAGGAAAGAAAAAGTTCCTAAAGCATGCAACAAATCCCTCTAACTCCTCTCATACTTGACAGATCTAAAAATTTTGGCAGTCATTTTATAAGGCAATAAACTTCAATATTGAGGTCATTATTTGGAAGGGACCAGCTAGAGGAATTTCCCATAACCAATATTTTGTTGCCTGAGCCTGGCATTTCCCATAAAACCAGAGTAAAATCTTAAAACAGCATTTAAAGGTATTTCAAAGCTTGCCAAGAGCCAACTATGCATATAACACTTACTTTTTGTGACTATGATGCAGTTAATTGTTCGTGCTGTTCACAGTGCTGTCGGTGATTGAAGAAGCAGTGTCAGTGCATTCTGCGAGCTTATGAGAAACCAACAGCACCATTTGCATGAAGCCTTCTGATGCAAAGTGAAGCACCTTCAAAAAAGCAACCAAGAGAAATGCACTGATAAACAGGTGCTTGTTTGTTCACTTTAACAGCCTCTTTCTTCATGAAATAAACCCTTTACAAACATAGTTTTCACTGAAACTATGCTCGACAAAGGTACGAACATTCACTGTATGTGTGAGGCATTGGCTATTTAAAAAAATAAAGAAAAATATAGGGACAAAAGTGCAGTTGCAGTTGTGCAGTGCTTCACAGTAGTTTCTCATAAAACTTGCAGGCATGCTTATGTAGCATCAGGGTTCACATGTATGCAGTCTCTGCAAGATCCTTCCATGACGCAATGAACATTCACTAATGTCACAAATTCTAGGGCAGAGAGTGAATTAGTAGTAATGTGGAAATCAAAAACTTGCAGAACTGTCGAGAGCTATCATCTCGGCTATCGAATGCAAAGAGAAATGTGAAGCCAAATAAAGAGGTGTCAAGCATGTTGCCCTTTAAAGAGACTGCATAACCTTCCTCAAGATAAGACAACAAATACTGAGCTCTCTAGTTTGCCAATAGAAGTGTGCACATCCATCAGGCTGCTGCATTATACTATACCTGTTGCTAGTGCCAAATATAAAATGGCATAACAGGGAACGCTAAAGGCAGCATATCCTGTCATAATATTGACTTTTGAATAAAGAAACATGTAATAATGACACAAAAATTATTTAAAGTACAATGACCATTACGGAGTAGAAAAGGTAATTGATTATAAGTAATACATTATATAGAAGTCTGGCAGTTAATCTTAATAAAAAAAGAACAAAAATAACAGCGTTATTATTGTGAATATAGCTCAGTGTACCATATTTACAAGTCTGTTTGAATGTAGGTCGATCCCCCTAAATCGCTCGGCAAAAAGACCTCTAGTTTCAGTTTTGATTGCAAGTCAGTGCCCACAACTTCAGATTTCAAATTTATATAAAATGGGTAACTCACAATTTGTACAGTAGCTAACTAGGCCATCTTGTGTCATAATTTCCTGTTCCTGGCACAAACTAAAATTCCACCGTGCCCACAAGCACACACGGCGATATTTTTCAGGTGGAGCTTAGTTATTCGAGCTCTATAATATGCCCTAGAGAACAGTTTTCATCCATAATGAAGCTAATTGAATAGAACTTATGCACAATATAAAGTTTTATCCTATGATCTCCATATTCAGATGTCTTACAAGCCAACTTTTGGTCATGTTTGTGTGCCCCTGAAAGTGAAAAAAGTATTCTCTTTTGCAAGATTTTGGCCTCATACCAAGGCCTAAGAGTGCTTCAAAATAGCTTATACTGCTCCTTATTAACAAATGATTCAAAATGAGCAAGAAAACTTATTTACAAGTTATCATTTATTGAGAAAAATGAGAATGCAGTAAATTGCATTAAAGTCCAGATGCTTACATTCTACACATCCTTGTGCACATGCCTACAATATTTCTGGTATTTGATTTTGTAAAATGCAAATTTCTAGTTCCTACTTTAGCTTGTACTAAAATTTCAAACACAGAAACACAAGTATTAAAAACAGCAAAAGATTGAAAAAAAAAAAGAAACAGAACAAAGTGGAACAATATTGCTACTGTTTCCTAGTACAGTCAGAGCAGACTATACTACTGAACCCCGTTTATAAGAGGCATGCTCTGGGCAGCAGTTGTCTTTTATATGAAATCTCTCTTATTAACAGGGTACGTTGTATGCATTTTCTTATCCACCTGTATTTTACTGAAGGCATACTGGTGTCTATTATTCTGATTTGTCCCTTATATTAGTCTTTCTTATAAAGGGGTTCGACTGTATCATGCTAGGGTAAATTGAACTATCCTTTACATTGAACTATTTTCAAACATGACAATGGTTTAACGTCAATACAATGCAAGCCTCCATCAAACAAAAATAGCCAAAGCACTTGCAAGATCGAACATCAGGCAATGCTAAATGCCCTAGAAAGTTCATTTTTCCTGACAAGATGGCTTTTCCTCACAGATGGGGACCTTTTTGCACACATCTGGGAGAGTCAGTGGTGTGATTAGGATGTTGTCGTGCAGTGCAAGCATCAACTACTGCTTGCTACCGCGTGCTTTTCCTCATGATTCCTTATTGTCATGCCCATTACCCCATCATGTGGTATCGCCACTCGCTTCTTCGGTCCGTTTCTTAATGTAATGGCTGGCAGTAATCAACACAGTTGAATGTAAAGAAAAGACGTCTGATGACCCAGCTGCTTACAACATTCCTGCATGTTGTTAAGAAGCCACCCCCTTTTTTTTTTCTTAATCGTGAAGCAGTGCCGAACAGCCAAGATGTGCAATTAAATTTACACTGAAAAGGCGGTTAATTTTTAAATACTTTTTTATAATGATTTATTCGATATATCGCAGTGAGTACGATATTTAACGGACCAATTGTAACAACACCTATATTGAGATAGTAAAATGTACTGAGGGACTTGCACAAATCTTCATGCACGATTGGATTCTCGTAGGACAGTACACACAGCTAATACATAAAAGCTAAATGCAGGATAAATTTTTATATAACATAAGATGAACACAACATGAAAATATAATAAAAAAAAAAAGAACAAGTGACCCATTGAAAACAACACTGCCCTTCAGCCAGTATCAGACCAATCAGCTACATACAACCAAAATATATATACATATAATCTCTCACAATTGGCTTAATACAAACTCAAAAAGCTCTTGCAAATGTTCAAGTAAAAATTAAGTTTTTTTTTCATGTGCATCAACCACTACCTTCAACAAAACAAAAATGTAAATGCAAAGGGCACCTGCAAATAACCAATGCAGCTAGACATGATAATATAAGATGCAATGATAAAGCCTACTCTGAGAACTGGTGCTAAGATTAAATGGTGACCTTACAAGAGCAGCATGAACAGCTCGCATCAGCATGATGACCACCCACAAAAAGCTCGTGGAACACAAGAGCTAGCTCTGTGGCAGGCTGTAAAAGAGCCGATTGAGAACCATAAAAGGTTTTTGCTTAGCCAGACTGCATGCATATGACGGCATCACCAGTATGGACCCAAACTTGATAATTTAAACATCAGTTTTTTCCCATGCCTGCCCAGGTACGCAAGCTCTTCAAAACACTTGTCAAATAGGAGCACCAGTGCTGCCTTTCCTCCCTTGTGTCAGCAGAAAGCAGGTGGTCCTTGCCGCTTATGTGCAAAACTATTGTGTGAGGTCGTGCACATACATCACGTGATGCTAGACGTGCCTCTGGACTGGTGCACTGGCTCAACTCCAATCGACCTACTGGTTCCTGTGTATGACAGAGCAGAGCAAATAAGAAAAGCCGCCAGCACAGTTGCATGAGACAATTTGTTATCCTGCATGTGCAAGTATGCCACTTGAAGAGGAAGTAAAGTAGCGAATTGGGCTAGTTGGAACATACTCATCATGATCAGCACACAAAAAAACACATAAAAACGCAAGAAAGTGCACGGCACAAGCACTGTCTAACAATTGAAAGTTTAATGAAAAAAAAAAAACAAAAACAAAAACGTGTCATTTATATGCAAACATCAAGGCATAAAAAATCTTGACGACCCCCACCGAGTACGTGACCAAGTATGCTGCATATGTGAGATGCTGCATATGTGAGACCAAGTATGCTGCATATGTGTGCATATATGTCAGCGTCTGTGAGAGCGATTGAAGGCTGGCTCACTCACCTGTGTCTTGCTTTTATGATTTCATACGCTTCAGAAATTTCACGCGTGCACTGGTCTCTATGCCTCATCACCACAGAGGTTTTGTTTAACTCAACTGCGCAGCCGCCCTGCCAGCAGTGGAGGGCAAGATGCATAGATGGTGTACCTTTCAAAGAGTTAGCGTGCTCCCTTAGACGGACGTTGAGGCAACGTCCCGTCTGCCCAATGTATGTGGCCCCGCATGACAAAGGAATGGAGTACACCACTCCCCTTGCACAGTGAGTGAAACACTTAGAGTGCTTTATAGAGCAACCTTCAACGTTGACAGTGGACTGTCCCTTCTGCACTCTTTTGTCAACTCTTGCACACACGCTTCCTAGGTTCTTGCCAGCACGAAAGACAACATTTATTTCATAATGACTGGCCACCATCTTCAAATGATGCGACACGTAGTGCAGATACGGAATAACGACGAACTTTTTTTGCCGATCCAAGGCCACTACCACAGTGTCAAGGCCCTCTTTTTGTTCCATATTAAGGTGATGAAATGGTCGCAGTGAAGTGGAGGCAAGGACCAGGCACAGAAAACCAGCCGCATCAAATCTAATAACCTGCTGTAAAAAAACTCTAAAAAAGATCTAATAATTGCAAGAAACTGTCTCTTGGGACTTCATAAATAAAGCATTAGAACAAAGAGCATTAGAAACAAAGCATTAGATTGCCAACTGGGCATTGATTTGCCCAGTTGGCAAGCCGACTGGGCAAATCAATTTGCCACAGAGTGACAGACAACAACCGTGTACGAAGAATTCGACAGTGGAATTAAAGGAATGAAATACGACACGCAAGGTATTCTGGGCAACTCAAGGACTTCCACTTCTACCTTGCTCACCGGTACCTGCTCTGGCAGCGCGGATTGTGTTCCAATCACGGATTTGGAGGTGTTGCTCACAGAGTCCGTCAGCTGCTCCTACTCCGCCATTGGAATTCAACAATTTTAATGCGCCTAATCGATGCTGTCTGAAAAGTAGTCGGCGAGTTTCCGCAATGATGCTTTCTTTAGTTAGACCCCCCTTTGCGGTCATTTCGTTGGCAATGCGTATCTTTGGACGTTAATTTTTTTTTTAACATTTGAAAATGTATATGCTTGTAAGCAGCCCACATCGCATGCTCGATTCTCGCACACGTGAGGCTGCATGCTAAACAGGTTTTGCGCAAGTGCCGCCCTTGAAAAAGGGTTTTTTTGGTTATAGCGTGGCACCATTTATAGTGCGGATATTCGCGACTCCAGCAACTTATGTTATGAGCAGTCTATACTGTATTACAAGCTCGTCTCTCTCAGTAAAGTTTTAAGCACATTTTAATTTAATAATGCTATTAATCATATTTGGTGGTTCTTATGTACTAAAACTATGATATGATTATGAGAGATGTTGTAGCAGAAAGCTCTGGAAATTGACCACCTGGAGTTCCTTAACGTGCGTGCACCTAAATCTGAGCACGTGAGCCTCTAGCATTTCGCCTTCATCGAAATATGGCTGCCACGGCCGGGATTCCACCCTGTGACCTTTGGGTTAGCATTAAGTACCGTAACTACTAGACCACCGTGGAGAGTTACCTCTTAATTTAAGAGCATTTTTTGTGGTTGCAGGGTGGAACAGGATGGAAGGGGTAGCACCTTAACTTCAAAGTTATTTATATGTTATTACAAGTAGGACCAGCAATTTGATGTAAGGTGCATAGAAATGCAGAAAAACAGTTTATGCCACACTTACCTTGCTGCCTTCATCTTCAGGGTAGCGCCAGTAGGACAGCCTATTTTCTGCCAGTACGCACCAACGCCTGTGCCAGGCACCAAATCCTCCCACTTCTTCAAACATGGACTAAAAAATATTGGCATACATTAAATTACGAGAGCACTGAAGCTACAGTTGACTCCACTTGAAAATACAGCTAGAAAGAACAGAGAAAAAGTTGTTGTTTTGTCAATGGTCAAACTAATACGAAAAAAAAAAGAGTTTATCTTCAGTGTCCCCTTAAAAAACATAAAAAACATGATTTTGCTCATTTTAACAAACTGCTCTTTCACAATGCCAAAACCGCCAAGCTTGTTGTGAGAAGGCTTTCGGTAAACGAGAAAATGCAAGCGGCTAAGCCACCTTATAATTCCCACTTTAACCACCTTGACGTCATAGATTGTGACAGTATCTACTAAGGGCCTAAAAAGTTCCTAATCGGTAAAAATGAAGTGCATTGTCTTCTGAGGGACCCAGAGACTTAACTTGCAATGTTTCAGTCAATTTTGTAGATTTAATGTCACCTAACTACGAAAACTGCACTTCGAAATACGTGAAGTAACCAAGAAATCGGGGCATGAAATCGACCCTCATTTTCTCGTCCACTCATAAACCTATGATGCTAAAATAAATGTTATTAAAAGCGCCAGCCTAGGGGCTAGTTGGTTGTACATGGTTGACACTCACGACACACTGAATTGCACATGAAAAAAGACACACGTGCGTGTCCTTCCTGTGCCTCTGTGTGTCTTTTTTCATGTGCAATTCAGTGTGTCACGAGTGTCAACGAATGTTATTAAAGTTTTCAGAGTAAAACTTATCAATATAAACAGACTCATTGTTTCTAGGGGTGTGTAAATATTTCGGAATTTTAAATATTGAATAGTATGCTATTCAATTCGGTATTTGAAGTGACTTTCTTCAATAAAACGATATATAGTAGACTCCCGTCTTATATACCAGTCACTGGCAGAAAAACCTAATGAAGTCTGTCCATTATGTCAACCACCTCCATTGCCATCACAATCATGAGTGTCACTGTGTTTAATTCCATGATGGTGCCCAAGGAGAGCTTAAAAAAAATAGTGGAATGGAAGCTTTCACAACATGTCACTGGCAAAGGTGAAGCCATGATTTGCCCCTGGATTGTTTCGAAATCATTTTCTTTTCAGGTGGTGCCTGCTCAAAGATGAAGTAATTTTGTCCTGTTAATGTTTATGAGTGACCTATCAAGACTACCATTGCTGACTTGATCTCCGATAAAATTTGCCCAAACTTTCGGGCTTCTTGAAACAACATTTACTTCACTGACTCACATCGACCACTGGCTGTCCCAAAATATTACGTAGCTGTAATAAAGTGCTGTGGCATGCGAGAAAAATGCTGCTTTTTCTTCGCTACACACTAACGTTTTAGCTTCCACTAGTCATATGGCAGATATCTAGCTTCACTTTCCTCCTCATTGCTTGTGTCATGGTTGGCCTCTCTTTGTATCTCTGATGCGTCTTGTGGATCTATCTGAGTGCTGAGTTGCTTTTGGTTATGTTCTCGGTGAGAATGACCGGTGGCCGGACATAGTTCACCGTAGCATAGAAGAAAATGGCAATCAAATTCACAAAGGCCTGTACTAGTAATCTGTTAGAACAATGAGAGCTTGAAGTGTGTGAAAGATGTGTTGGGATACTAGGGCAAGCAAATACGAGCAAGAGCTGTGAGTCAATAAGTTTACATAGATATTCTCACTGCTCCAGCTTGCAGGAAACTCTTTCTTTGTTACTTCCTGCGATTCCGGCAACTCTGGTTACTGCAGCCTGTATCGCTATTATCGGCAGGCAGATTACGTGCATCACGAAAGCATTCGCTTTTGATGAATGCAGAAGGATTAATCAGAAAGAGCAGAAGGATGATCAGAAAGATGAATCCAGAAGGAGCAATCAGAACCTTTATTCAAGGTCAGACCACTGCGTATCTAGAGCTGGAGACGAAGGTTGCATAGCTTATTTAAAGGGCCTCTCACAAACCACTGAAATACAAAAAACAAGTGCATTATTCCCTCCTAATGCTTGTCTCCTTTCTGGTGCACTTCGCGATGCAGAAACAGTGATTCCCGTGATGCCATTACGGTGCATACACTCGACTGGTACATATATGCAAATTATCAGATGTGAATTGTCACCTACATTACTTTGCTACGCAATCGCTAGCAAGGGGAGATAACAGCGTGTAGCCGACAAACGCAACATCTTGAAAGACTCAACGCTTGCAGCTGACATTCTACACATGTTTTTAAGAAATAAGTGGCAAGGAGGAGCTATCACCTTTGGGAAGGAGAGTGAAAGTGGGGAAGAAACCACTGCCTCGTCTTCGAATGCGGGTGATGAGGAGCTGTGCTTGTGTCATGATTGCTACTGGTGAACTGAGAGTGCATGCAAATGAAAAATGTCTAGATGATTGCGACGTTTTATCTTCTAACTTCAGCCCATCTTTTGATCCTTAGGCATGTGGAGCTCGTGTGTAAGTCCACGGCTGAATAAATGGCATTTTCACTGTCCACCATTCGAAATCTCATTTATTTTGCAGTCATCATCATCATCAGCGTGACTACGTCCACTGCAGGACTAAGGCCTCTCCCATGTTCCGCCAGTCAACTTGGTCCTGTGCTTGCTGCTGCCAATTTATACCCGCAAACTTGTTAATCTCATCTGCCCACCTAACCTTCTGTCTCCCCCAAACCCGCTTGCCTTCTCTAGTAATCCAATTAATTGCCCTTCTCTTAATAACCGGTGGTTATCCTGTCCACGTGCTACATGCCCGGCCCATGTCCATTTCCTTTTCTTGATTAAGGACGATGCAGCGAGCAATGGAAAGGAAAATGGTAGGTGTAACCTTAAGAGACAAGAAGAGAGCAGAGTGGATTAGGGAATAAACCGGGGTTAAATATTATTTTACAGTACAAGTGCCTTTATATTCTTCGGCCGTTCCATGCAGTACGTTTTCCTATTATCGATTTTCACTAGTTTGAAGCGGGGGGGGGGGGGGGGGGTCGACTTATATTATAGTTTCACGGTAGCCAGGGCTATCCGAATCATCTCAATGGCCTTTTTCTAAAGCAGTGCAAATAGTCAAATTTTGGTTGTGAAGCAAATCCGAATATTGAAGTATGAGTGCAAATTAAATAGAATATTTTGATATTATTTCTGAAGTATTTTTCAAATACCTTGAAGTGAAATTGCAGAAATAAAAGTTGGAGAGGATTCGTGAGCATATTCTAATAAAATAGCAACATGAAACTGCTCCTTTTGACTATGAAGTGCTGAAGAGGCTGTGCTTAATAGTTGTCTGAACAAGAATGAGGCAGAGCAGACGTCGAATTGTCTTTATGTAAATGATTTTGGGCAACCAAAGTGTTGCCGACAACACTTTACTCGGGAAAGGCAAGGGTGCTATTTCATCAGCTTCTCCTCCTCTAGCAACTTCGGTGGAAGCCCAAGTGATGTGGCAGACAAGGGTGTGCATCCTTCAAGTCCGAAGTTCTAAAGCTGCCTCGTAGACGTCAATATAGCATGGGAATATCTCAGATGGATGCTAAAAAATTTCCACGTCCAATTTTTCAGATTTCCTGGCCAAATTTCAAGCCCGAAATTGCAATAATTGAGCCCCCACTTTTGCCACATCTATCATCTATATGTTAGAACCAGTGTTTTCTTGAGTTAATACAGTTGCAACCGTAGCGGAGCTTTAAAGGCAGCTTTACCGCAATAAGAGAATGTAATGAGGTGAAGGATATTAAAAATCTGAAGGGACCACAATGCATTCGAATGTTGACTTTTTTTTTTGTCTTTGAGAAATTCGACCATAGCGAAGTCTGAAAATCAGCTTTGCCGCAATATGAGGGTGTTATAAGGTGAAGCATATTAAAAATCTGAGAGGTAACTTTCAATTGGATGTTGACTGTATTTGTTTTTGGGAAGTTTAAATGGTAAAATCCCAGTGTGAATAGAATTGAATAGAAAACACTATTCCAAAAATATTTGATTTGCATACTCCTACCTTTCTTCTTGATTATCTTTATTTCTGGCAAATAATACAGGTTTTTAGTCTGTCCAGCACACCACTATACACAAATTGCTTTGTGTGTACCAGAATACCAGAAGCGAACTGCGCATGCGCGCGCTCAGAAAACATGGCCGTGCCACCAAAAGCAGTTGCCGTGCACCTCGAATCTATAAAGCGGCTGTTGTTTGCTTGGTAGCTTGCTAGCTTCAAAGTGATGCTTTCATTTGCTTGACATTTATGTCCAGCAGTCCAACAGCAAAATATGTGCTGATTTGGCTCCATTTTGGCGATGCTTGCTCAAATATTCCATGCTGTATGCTTAACAAGCGGTGCTCCCGGAATCTCAGAGGACATTATATGTTCGTTAGTTTCTTATGCTCCATAGCTGGCACCACTTGACATGATGACATCTACGGGACCCGCTATTCAATATCACACTATGCCTTTACGTTACGGGAGTACCAGACAAGGTAAAAATTTCTAATGACAAGAATTTTCTCATGCACTGACAATTCCACAATGCACATGCATTACTGCATGCACACCAGCCTCAGAAGTGTGACTTCGGCAAGTTCATAAATGTTTCACCAAACAATATCTTTCAAAACATAGACACTAATATACAAAACACAAGAGCACTTTGTGTATATAGTCATATTTTCTGACTTGCTTCCCTTCATCTTGCTGTCTTTAATGAGGCTGACTTGCCGACTGCTTCTTGAAAGACACTGAAAGCTTATGCAACTTACCAGAAATCCTCGAAGCTCATGGTGATGTTCAGGTCTTAGCATCAATTGCACAAGGAGTGTCCCTTCAAGGGGGGAGTTTGGAGGAACCTAGACAAAATAAGCAGAAACTTGAGTTTATAGATTTCACTTGCATGAAAAGGCAAAAAGTAGTCATATGCTATGAATGCTTCAACTAGCTTGTGCAAGTGTTGTAAATATGATTGCATGGCGTAACATGAGCAACACATTCAGTTCTAGAGTATCATTATTTTTCTTGAAGAGTCTCACTTACTCATTAACTATTATAGTAAAAATACTTTTGACATCTTTTTACATACTGATTTTGATACAAAATCTTCAGTAGAAAAACTGCACAGCAAACATAAAGAATATTTTTTTTAAAGATATCTGCTACGGATTTAGTTTTCCACAGTTCCAGAGAAAGCATAGATGTTAAATACAAGTAAGAACCATGTGTGTATTGGGGCTATGGGAAGGAACACGAACAGTACAGCACCTCTCTTTCCTGCCATTTCACTTTTTTTTTCATGCGGCTGTAGCCTTCATGGTTATAAAAAATAAACAGCCAATATAGTCATCCATGATACAATCGAGAGGCCACTCTAGCATCTTTTCATTGCCACTATGGTGTGATAGTGACGAAAATGCACAGTGCTAGTTTCTTGCTATCCTCCCTGTACATAATTTCATGTAGCAGTGTGAGTGCTTAATTTAAAGGCACCCACACTGCTACACAATGAGATTATTTCTGCTGCACACAGACAGGTTTCATGAATGGACTCTAAGTGATGGGAATCAGACAGAAATTGTCTTGGTCTTCTATATTAGTGTCACAGCTTTCCTGCTCAAGTGATGGGCTCTTCCAGCAGTTTTGCTAATGCAATATTGTCACACGCCCTCACTCTTTATTTTGATGTTATCGAGCTTCACCCGCAAAAACAGTTAGCACCGCTTGGAATGTTGCAATGTTTGGGAACCTTGGCAACTACTAGAAGAATGTGCAGAATGTGAATGGTCAAGTTTATTCTGAAACTTATGCGAGCACTGGCAATAACACTGGACGGTCCAATAATTGATGTATGAAAGATATTGCGCTCCGCCAACAATCAGATTTCTGACAGAAGACGCTTGTGACCACCGTTATCAGTGTGCAGTGTGTACTGATTATACTTTGACTTCATTTGCTGGGCACAAGTTCGCCCAATAGTCTTTATCTGTGCCAGCTTTTGTTGTGTGCACTTCACCATCATGACTATGTGACAATACTATGTAAACATTAAAAAGCTGCAAGCTGCAGGGGTAAATAATATTGTATCCAAAATGACAGTTGTGGTCATTGGCTCAGGACTTCCTTTTCTGCTCATGGCCTCTTTTACATTCTCAGTTTGCTTGAAATACTCATTTTCATCTTAAACATGTAGGTAGAGAAAGATTACTCAGCACCAGTGCTTTAATGTCTCTTGATACACTTCAGAACTTCTTTAGAAATTATTTTGTGTTTAAAAATATATACTCGAAATATAATCAGTAAGTTAACGACTTCTGCTGATCACAGAAAAAGAGAATTGCTCAAGAGGGCACTGAAAATTCGAGTTCACTTTATTGGTGTAGTAAGTGCTTACTTTGTTAATGCTTTGAGAAAAATTAGTCTTGACATCTTATAGTATGTGTGTACACAATAAATAAATTGTTCATAAAATATAGATTTATTAGCATGGTATTCTGAGCCATAACTTATTTAAAAGAGACCCGCCCTTTGAAAACCGGAAAATCGTGAAAAAGTCGATTTTTTGAAAACCACATATTCGGGTAGTATATCACATAAACTATCTGTTCAATAAATATCAATGTCTAATTCATCGCAAAAGTACGTCAAATAAATTATATAACATGCTGCAGCAGCCGGCGAGCGAGCGCCCAAAATACCCCAACTTCACGTGTTAGCCATTTCTGAACCACGCAGCCCAGCACCACACCACCATCTTGGTGTTGCATTGCTCGTGAATTCTTGCTCTTCTTTTTTTTCGCCACCCATAGAAGCAACGGGGTGGCTGAGGTGGGAATCGCTCATGATTGAGGGGGCTCTCGAAGTTTTGAAGTCTCCCGCGGCTCGGATGTGAAGCCGCGATTGGATGAAGCGCGTGCATCTTGAGGGAGTTGGGTATTACGCGGCTTCTATTGGCTGCTGTGCGCGATGATGCATCTGTTCCCCCGGCTAGCCTGGTGCTTTCAAGGCCGGGATACTTTGTGTGTCCCATTTGCCATCATCCCGCTCAGTTCTCACACATGCTCTTCAATCTTTCACCGTCTTTATAAGACTATATTCTACCGTCTTCATGAGACAATCTTTTGCCGTGCTCATGAGACGGCGATTGTTGCACTGTCAGTCACGATGGGCTAAACAAAGTTCAGGACTCTGCATGCATTCGGTTTAAGAAAGTGCCAGATGAGGCTCGTACGCATAGCGCGGCTCGTTCACGCGCCAGCATGCAGCGACAATCGCATCGATCCTTCTGGCGGAGCAGCTTCTGCTTCGACTCTGCAAGACGACTGCATTGACGCTTCTCGCGATGTCGACATAGCTACACGATCGGCGCAAAACTCCGTCGTCACAAATGAGGCTGGTGTTGGTGTTCTGTGCTCAAGTGTGCCTGATGCGTCGTGCCCGCCAACCGCAGTGATAATGGCCCCAAACAGTGCGGCCATGTCTGTGCATTTGCACAGACATGGGCACACTGTTTGGGGCCATTATCCGACGACTAGGCATTTGCAGAATGTTTTCGGACGTGCGAGGAGTTAGCCATGAAAGATAGCGAACGTGCTGTGCAAAAAAAGCTCGGCGCGATGCCGGAGACCGAGAGGCAGTTTCAGATGATGCCTGAACCTGAAGATGCCACCGCTACGACTGAGGGCGAAAAATATTTCCTCGTGGAAGGGGACACATCTAGCTACTGAGCAGGGTCATTTTAGACCAAAATATGTGTTCAAAGCTTTCTAAGTTCATTTTCTCAAAATAAGTTTTTGGCCAGCGAGGCCGTTTAGTTGGGTGGTATCTCTGCAACCGTTCATCTGATTTTCATGAAATTTGTTTCATTATGTACCTTAACAAATTTCCCACACTTTCACAAAGCCACCTTTTCACTTTATTGAGTGAGTAATTTGTAATAATTAATTAAAATTTCATTGATAAAAGCAAAAAAGCAAACACTAAATCCAGTGCAAAGCTTAAAATTTTCAGCAAAGAAATTTCCAGAGAGGGCTCTGTCAAAGTGTAGAGCACCCACCCAGGAAGCATCGGAGTGAATTTCACAGTGCTCGCACATTTAACAAATTCACCAGAGCCTGACTAAAAAAACCCACGTGGACTACGCTGATAAATGGTTGTAATTTGGGAACCAGTGAACATCAATGCATAATTTTGTGATTATTCAAATGGCATTGCCAAAAGCCTACCCTGAAAATTTCATTAGGATATCTCAACAAACAAAAAAGTTGCCCTTTCAAAGCCTTCCCCCTTTAAATAAAGGTTTACATAAACTACAAGCTATATTCTCTATTCAATATAATAGACACGACACAGTACCTTTTCAAGGTTGAAAGTTGAGCGTCTACAGTTTCCAACTGTTAACTTTACAGACCCAACAAGGCCAAAACTAGGTGTCCTTACATGTGAGCCTGATGGTGGACAAACTGCAAAAAACGAAGTGAGAAAAATTATTACTATGGGCTGAAACAAACTGAAACCTGTTTGCCAACCATAGCTATAACGTGGACCTTATTATAAACAAAAACATTGTATAATTTGAAACATCCCAAATGAGCCAAGATGCCTACAGCATGAGGCATGGACTTACCAGTTGCAGGAGACAGGGAAGACTTGATAGCACTTCCTTTGCTGCTACCTTTAGGTGTTAATTTGAGCTTGCCATCCTGTATTGGGGTGATAATTATTTCTAAACTATAAATCTGAGAAAACTAGAATGAAGATTCAATGCAAGGACGAGTTCAACAAAGTGAGAACTTACATTAGTAAAGGGCAGACTATCAGGAATAACACTTACAGTGACATGCACAGCTTAAACTTTTATGCAGCTTCACAAATATGAACCAAATGCTTTGAGTAAAAACTGCTACTACAAAATTGTTCACCTGAAGTTCGCAAATAACCAATGAAAGGCAAAGGCTCCTTGCAATGATTTGTATTGCAGCACAGTACTCAAGGCATAAAGTAACAGATGTTTTAAATACTGCTTCCTCACATAAATGCACAGCTCCTTCACTGCTTCAGTATTATGCACATTAAAACCTCAACCTGACAAAACCCAATTTTACGAAGTTCTCAGTCTAACGAAAAAGTTTCTAATAGCACAGCAGGTACCCATGGTTTTCAATGTTAGCATCAACCTGAAAGAATAAAGCTAGTATCTTAGAATTTTTCGTTGGGCAAGTTGGTGCATGTCTTATTGTTGGATATGTTGCGCAAAGAATAGAAACACGCAAGAAAAGTTATGTAGACAGAAAGCTTGCTCCTTCTGTCTACAGTAAATCTTCACAATACCAGTCTCACAAGGTGAACAAAAACATCCGTATCATCGAAATTTGTATTCCCAGAAAAGATAGAAAATAAGTATACAACAAAAGAGAGTTGCCATACGTTTTTATTTATTGTAGCTTGAAGCCCCAGCAATCTTATCAACAACTCCAAATGATTGCCAGTAAAGTTTTTGGTCGTTAATGATCATACTTGTGCTCATAAACATACAGCACATGGGCACGTGTAGTGAACGAGATGTCTTGTGGACTGTAACGACTAGTAGCCTCTTTCTATAAGTATGCTTTTTTGCATCTCAAGCAGGTGTAAACACAGTACGACGATGCTGCCTTGAGCGCAGGAGCACACAAAGGCGTGTTGAAAAAAAAAACTGCAACGCCAACGCTTCCAAGATTGGCACACAATCTCGAATACTACGACGTAATGCTGATGGTCTATTCGGACAAACTGACGGTGCAGCGTGCTTGCTCGCGGTTGGACTCCCATGTATGAGTGTGACCGTCGCACCTTTTGCAACAGCTCAGGCAGTACGTGTTCACACCTGTATGGTAGTGTACGTTCATATCAAATACTGTGGGGTGAACGTTGGTTCGGAACATCGGTACTCCATTACATTACAGGCCTTGGCCGGGACCACAGAAACATGCGTATCACCACAAAATTCGTATGAGCCATGATTGTATCATCGAGGTTTTGCTGTACATTGTTGTTTTTCTCTCTATTTGTCTGTTCGTTGCACAACATATCTTATATTAACAAAGCTAGCTTGGCTATCAAACTCAATTTAAATGTTTTTGCTGATATAAATGAGCAAAAAAGAGGCGATTTCCTTCTAATTTTATCAGAGACAGACTTTTTCCTTGAGCATGCGCCATAGTGCTATCCGCCGTTACACTGTTAAGGCGCTTTGACACATCAGAAGCTTCATGCTGATAAAGCAGCAAGCTGCGCCTATCCATGGAGGAATGGCCTCAGCAGTCAGTAGCACTTACATACTAGACTGCGCTCAGGGCAGCAGTGGTTGCTTTTGGTATGTCATAGTTTATGCGACAGATGACACTCACAATTTTCTCGCAACTTTCTTGCCTGCTCTGTTTGCACAACCACTGGATTATTTCTCTGCATCTTTGCATATATCGGCAGCTTGCTACAGCTACATGTGACCATCTGACCCTGACCTGACCTTGATGAAGGAAGTAAATTTTTTTCAAGATTGTTTTTTTTTGTTAACATTACCAAATGAATACAGCAGACAATTATGACAAGAACAGGTGACATTAATTGTTGTCTTTAACTGTACTGTAGTAAAATGATCTCAAATGCAATAAATTAAAGTGGATAAAAAATCACCCTTTCCATTGGCGGGACACATACCCACAATCTTCAAATTTGAAGACTGTGGGTTTGAATCTTACCAACTGATACAAGTGGTTTGAGGTCCCCTTTCATCCACTAATATTTATGTCATAGTTACTACACTACTGCTAATAACAAGAATTATTGTCACCTATGCTTTCCTTGGCCTAACCATCTAATTGGCCTGCATTGCCTGGACATGGATCTTTGATGTCTAGATGACATGGGAGTCTTCTTGCACATCACCTTTGGGCTGGCCTTGCAGACTTTTCACATGCAGTGAACAACTTTTTGGTGTTGCTATATTGCTACTTTAGATCTTGAAAGACTGAAATACCTTTCTCAATATTACAAGCTTCCCAATGTAGTGAAATGTTGTAAGAATGGTGACTCCTTCATTATTATGAATTCCAAATCTATTAACCAGTTGTTTATTGCAAATTAATGAAAAAACACTAAGTGGACTTTGCAGATAAAAGCACATGGGAAAGAATTTGAAGAAGTCCATTGAGTTATAGTGATTTTCACGAGTGAAGCAGTGCATTGAGACAAGGCACAAAGGGAGGACACGAATGTACAGGACGACTGCTGCGTTTGTCCAACCAATTCCAGTCTTCCTTTTCACATGTCAAGATTAACTGTCACCAACTCACACAACTATCAACTTTACTCAGTTATAATGTTCAGGAAACAGTCAGAAAAAAAAGTATAGCAATTATAGTAGACAACACAAAACAAAACTTGACGGGACCAGAAAATTATGTTTCGTTTAACAGGAGCTTCAACTGAGAGATAAACAGTGGTGCAGAACTCAAGTATGAAACCAATCATATTAGAAGTAGTTGTTCCACTAAGCAGCAATTCGGTTTAAAAAATTAACATCAGCATTCTGCTACATCACGTTTTCTTTGCATGCTGCCAAGCCAAAAATGTAAACTATGCCTTTCTCGGTTTTTACTTCAAGTAGATACAATGAGGCCATAGTGCTGAAAAGACCGGGACCAAGAAACACAAGAGGCAATCCTATCATCTTCCTTTATCTTTGTCTTGCAACACTATGGCCTCATAGAATGTAGAGAACAAACTAACCCAATAGTCTGTACTCGTGCCATCCAGAGGTGGCAAGTAGAGATGGGCGAATATTTGGGTGCTATGAATATTTTAATGAATATTACAGTATTTGAATCCATTTCTCCATGAATTTAGGTTATTAAAAATTTCAATGTATTCGAAATAAATGAATATATTTATATTTGAGTTTAAATAACCTTCCCATAAAGGTAGTTTCACTGCAGCTTAAAGGTGCTGTGCTGTGAAACCACCCATCCAAAAGAAACCTACGCTGTTATCTACGCAAAGCCACACTTCAAGGTCAAACATTGATATACCTTCACCTCGATTGATAATATTTCAAAGCTAAAAGTTAAAGAGTGTATTACACAGGCTTGTATGTGCCGAAAAATAGTAATTTTTGAAATGTAATGTAATGTACCAGTTATAACTTGCACCCTACTGCTACACAAATCTGGCCGTTCAAAGTGGCTTACACTACGAACCAAAATAGTCACATTGACGCTTGCCTAGTTCTAACACATAAAACTATTGTGCAAGTTTAGTTGGGCCATAACAAAAACGCAAATTTTTCTAATTAATCTGTGATTAACACTAATTGAACAATTTGATTCGAAGTTACTTGATCAAGTCACCATTCGCTTTGAACCTCAAACTTACTATTTGCCCATCCCTAGTGCCAAAGTATATTTGAAGAAAAATTGCGATTCGGCCCATTGGAACATATTCATCTTGAAGTACTTGCGCAGGAACATGGGGACAAAGAGAGAGACACACGCGGGTGCAATCCAATTACTCCCGTTTGTGTGTCTTTGTCTCCATGTGCCTGTGCAAATTATTTCAAAATGAAAAAGGTATAATTTGTACATCTCAAATATCGCATTTACTCGCGTAATGAACCCACCTTTCTTTTCAGAAAAGTTGATGCCAATTTGGTGGGAGGGTTCATTCCGCGGGAAAAAAAAGTCACGGGAGTTATCGCATGATTGTTTTGGCCAGTGAAATGCACGACAAATCTATTTTATAGCCCAAAGCTTTTTCTGTTTTTTCCCGTAACAAACGCACATGGATCTGTGCCGAAGTGTCGTCTAGTTGCTCGGTTTCCATGCTCCAGTGCATGCAGCCATGTGGCTAGTGTACCGGTCGAACACGCCATGTGCAGCAGGTGTCCAAGTGAATTCACTACGACAAACTCGACAACAAAAACACCGCTGCAAAAATGTTGCGGGCGTATAACGACGCCATCGGCGCGATGGGCGCAATTGCACTTTTCACGGCCTGCAAGATGGCGAGCGCGCAGCGCAAAAGCACGCCGCGCGCCCGTCATCTCCGAGGCCATGCGCTTTGTTTTCATGCCGCTCTGCTTGCGTGGAGCTATAAGCAAAAAGGTTTCTCCTGCATTAAACAGATGACGCTCTATCGCAATGGAAAAGAAGCCGGATATCAGTAATTACCGAAATGGCAGAAACGAAATAAGGAGGGAGAGGATTTATGATAATTCAAGGAGAAGTGCTTTACTGTTCGAAGTGAGGTCAGGCTGCCTAAAAACGCGTAGTCATAAAGCAAGATTCAGTAAAGAAGAACAATTTACATGCGGTGAGAGAGTTAAGGAAATAATGGAACATGTTTTGATTGAATGCGGCGATACCCACGCAGGTATACGTGTGGGTACAAGCCTACATGAGGCTTTGGGTTTAAAGGACAAACATGGAAAGCTGAACACATCCGCGATAGAAGCAAGTCAGAGACGGTTAGAGTATTGGTGGCAGAAAAGTAGAGACAAAAGACAGAAAAAGTGGGAAAATGAGGTGATTCTGCCTGAAGACGCAGAAAAATGGAACACAAATTTATATTCTTCTTTGTTATAATAAGATCGATTTAATCCAAGTAGATGAGGCATCAGGCCAACATAAAAAAAAAAGATTTCTCTTTAGTTTTTTTTTTTTTTGCAAACCTGGCGGGACACATTTCATTGCCCCGTTATAAAAGAGACGCTCATAGCATCCATCCATCCATCCATTCATCTCAGACTTTTACATTTGATTGATGCCGTCCGCGCTCGGGCTGCTCGCAACTGTTTAGCATGGTTGCCTAACTATGTTATGACTTTTATTGCATTATTATTTTGTGATATAACAGCATGATTTATTGTTTTTTCAATGATCAGTGCGACTGGCTATCACAACAAAATAAAATGAACAGATACATTACAATTTTGTTTCTTTTTGAAGGACCAAGATGGGGGGTGGGTTCATTACATGAGTAAATACAGCAAAATGAGTAACTGAAGAAGGCGGCAAACATTTCTTTAAGACTCAGTCTTTTATAGTGGATTAAAAATGTGAGGCACGAAATGTTTTACACCTGGAATGGGGTACTTCCAAAAAGCGTGGAAATTTTATAAGCATAATGGTATGGTCTCAACAGTCGAAAAATGCAGGAATTCCCATGTCAGAAACACTAATAAATGATGATGCTGATGCTCATGAACTGGAGAAGCAGAGCAATGGGTGGCATTACAGGAGTCAGTGCAACTTTTATTAAGCACCCATATTTTAACCTTATCGCGACTTTTGCAAAAAAAAAAAAAAAAAAAAGCTGCAGCATTAAGTAAGCGTTGCTTGTACATAGCTAGCCCTAAGCCTCCTCATTCAGCCTTTGCACGAAGAAAGTCAACTCATCTAAAGAGAAACCACGCTTTTGCACTAATAGTGAGAGCAGCACACATAATTTTTGTGCGTTCACATTCAGAAACAAGCTGTTACTCAAAAAACCTTGGTGCTTTCCAATTGGAAATTCTCGCTCACTGAGAGCAGAACCTAAATACATACAAATCGTACACTTAACCACCAAACCACCAAGTTTGCATGGAGGTTGGCAGAGCACGTTGCATTTGCAAGGAAGAAACTGAGGATCATTATTCAGATTGGCTTTAAGTCTTGTGAAAGCAGCGACAGCATTTTTCTTGTGTGTTCTCACACCAAATAGATTTGCCAGCACATATTAAACAAAAAAAAAAAGGGAGGCTTAATACATGAAATGAATAAAATTTAAATATTTAAAAAAAAAGGGGGGGAGGAGTGCTTAGAAGACAGATATATTAATGAAAAATCATACGATAGGACATGATACTTGTTTTCCTATTTGTGTCATTTTGGGCACCATAATTAATTTTACTGAATACTTGGAAGGACTTAAAATGTTGATTTTCATTCAGTGAAGAAGACAGTGCTCATTTTAGTCAAAATGATACACAACTATTCGTTAAACGAGCTTTTTACACATGGCACTTTTTGGCCACATGTGGCCCTTGCAGCAAATAATCCCACAAATCATCATCATCATTGTTAATTGATCATAACAGTTGCTTTCTTTTTCTGCGAAGATATTAAAGCACAGCACATACAGCCACAGTTAGTTTATCTCTACTTCTCACAGGACACAGAAACAATCAGGGATTCCAGTAGTGGGAAAGCAGGCAATAATGAAAAGCAACAGCACATCATAGCAGCAATTAAAGACTCAAATGAAATTGTTACACATAGCTCTTGTAAATCCACTGAAGCAAAAAATATCAATGCACAAATTTAATGAAGTAATCGCAGAAACGTACCTTCCCACCAATGCGGTACTTGCGATGGTGTGACAAAGTTTCTTTTTTAGTTTGCTGGAAGAAAGGAGAAATATTCAAAAATTACTTCTGTGGATACAGAAGCTAACAGAAGTTATATTTGCACCAAGAGAAAAATAACATTTCCTCTGTCGTTAAGTATACGGTGAGAAATAAATAAAATGGCCATTCTGTCTAAGGCACATCTTCCACACAATGGTGCATACACTGAAAGCATCTTCACATTCATCATGGCTCGCCTTTGTCACTCTTAGGATGCAACATACACAGGTGCAACTTTCTAAACCAACCCACTGTCATGCTCACAAGATGCAAGCTCCATTTGAAAATAGGTATATGCCACTAGTGCTTCAGACAAGAAAAAAAAAAAAAAAAGGGCTAAACTATTTTGCTGATCCAGATTACAATAATGAGCCAGCAATAAGAGATAGAATTTAATGAGTACAAGTCTAAATGCCTGAACATTATGCTTGAATCTGAATTAATTATAATAACCATAGCTATTACTAGAGCTGTGCAAAAAGTGAAATTTTAATTGTGAAGCAAATTTGAATATAGAAGTGTGAGTGCGTATCTAATTGAATATTTTTTGAATACTTTGAAGAGAAAGTGCAGTAAAAGAAAAAAAGTTGTAGCTGTAGTGGAGCATACACATTAACGCGTATGCGCCTTCCAAAGAGAACGAAAAACCCCAAGCTCTGATTGCGCGAGAACCTGTGCCGCCTTTGCCAAACTTGCCGTACGCCCACTTCCGTCACAACCTCGTTGCGACTTCTCTGTTTGAATAAACATCATCGCATGTGGTCGAGACTGCTGAGATCCCTAAGCAGACCAGGAGCTCCGTTCTTGCAAGTTGGCCGAAAGACCACCGTACAACATGACTGACGCAGTCGCCAACCAGCCCATCCCAGCACAGCCAGCACCGTCGGCTGCCCCGTCTACCTGCCCCGGCGCTACCCGTCAGCGGGACCCACCAATCTTCAGCGGCAGTGGTGAGCAAGACTTCGAAGACTGGCTCTCCTTTTACGAATGCGTAAGTGCCAGCAACAAGTGGGACGACGACTCTAAGCTTGCCTATGTTATCTTTTACTTGGCTGATGTCGCTAAGCTATGGTTTACCAACCGCGTAACCGCCATCGCCGACTGGTCCACCTTTAAGACCCTTGTGACCAAAGCGTTCGGCCGACTAGAGGTCCGCAAACTCCGCGCTGACCAGTGTCTACGCCACCGATCCCAGCAGCCTGGCGAGACGTTTACTATAGTTATATTGAGGATGTGCTCGACCTCTGCAGGCGTGTTAACTCATCCATGCCTGAAGAAGAGAAAATTCGACATATTCTCAAAGGCATCGAGGATGGCGCATTCCAGATGTTGCTGGCGAAAAGCCCGACCACGGTGGCAGTCCTCATAAGCCTGTGCCAGAGCTTCGATGGATTGCGTCGTCAGCGTTCCATCGCCCGACAGAGTGTCCCATCACCAGATTCGATCTCGGCCGTCGCACTCGCAAATGGCAACGTTCGCCAAGAAACTTTGTCGAACCAGATTAAAGACTTCATCAGGGAGGAAGTCGCCCGGCAGCTCTCCCTGCTGCCGTATAGCGACGTGGCCACCACAAGCCTGCCTTCGACACTGCAGCAGGTCATACGCACTGAAATTTGCGATGCCCTCCCTACAGTTACGGCCCCTTGCCCATGCACTTCAGTACCATGTGATCCCTCAACTGCTGGTTACGCACCACCAGCGGCACCTTCACCTCTCAGCTATGCAGCTGTGGTCGCGCGGCCCCCACCGCATCCAGTCGCCTTATCGGCTCCACCTCCTCCGGCCTCGCCTTCAGTTTACAGACCCCCACCTCGCTTTTTCCGTTCATCCAATGAGTGGCGCACTGAAGACAATCGTCCTATCTGCTTCGCGTGTGGCATCGCTGGCCACATTGCACGCTTGCCGCCACCGTCCCACACCTTCGCACGCATACTTCGGAACTCCTACCTACACGCCGCAGCAGGCCACCACGTCTGCATATGAACAGAGGCACTCCGACTCGGATCGCCGCCCATCAACTGCTCGTTTCCCACCCCCTCGTTGCCGATCGCCATCGCCTATGCTTCGTCGACCACCTCCTGAGGAGGGAAACTAATCAGTGCAGTTCCGGAGGCAAGAACTGCAACTTGTGCGCAATTCTCAAGGCCTCCATTTTCGCCGCAAAATGTTGTTGATGTCGATGTTGAGGAAGTCGCCACATTAGCGTTAATTGATACTGAGGCCGCCGTTTCTGTGATGAACGCAGAATTTTGTCAGAAACTGAAGAAAGTGACCACATCTCTCTGTAGCATGGTGCTGTCCATGGCTTGCGCGCAACGCATTCATCCTTCGGCTGTTTGTACGGCACGCGTCGGCATCCAAGACGTTTTGTACGTCGTCCAACTTTTTGTTCTACCATCTTGCTCTCATGACCTTATCCTGAATTTGGATTTCTTATCACGTCATGAAGCTATCATCGATTGTTCCCGTGCCAAAGTGTCCCTTGTGCCAACATGTGAATTTCCACCGCCCGACCGATCTCTTATGCTCTGCAAACTCATCACTGACGACATCGCCTTGCCCCCGCAAGCTTCAGTGCCTATTAGCCTTTCATGTGTGGCGCAACCTGACGCCACGGTGGTGTTTACGCCATCTTCGGTTTTTACTGAATGCAAGGGCATCGTTCTCCCAATTGCCGTTCTTACAATTGCGCCTGGTTTAACCGCAATGCTGGTTACTAACTACTGCAACCACCCCATTGGCCTACTTCATGGTGAAACGTTAGGATATGTACAACCTGTCGACCATATTGATGATATCATTCTTCCCGACGAAACGCCATGTCGCATTGCCGCAATCACTCTTGCGTCTGAGCCATCAAGTTCGTCAGCCTTCGACAATGCTATTGATGCAGACCTTCTCCCCTCGCATCAACGCCAACTTGTTGCTCTCCTTAACAAGTTTCGCTCTTCTTTCGACTTTCAAGAACCTGCTTTGGGCCGCACCACGACTATCACTCATACTATTGACACTGGCTCACATTTGTCTCTGCGACAGCGTCCTTACCGCGTTGCCGCCGAAGAGTGCCGCGTCATTACGGAGCGAGTAGATGACATGCTTGAACGTGGAGTCATACAGCCTTTTCAAAGCGCTTGGTCATCACCTGTGGTTCTGGTAAAAAAAAAAGATGGCACCGTTCGATTTTGCGTGGACTATTGCCGCTTAAACAAGATTACGAAGAAAGATGTCTACCCGCTACCATGAATAGACGATGCTCTTGACTGTTTACAAGGCGCCAAGTACTTTACATCCTTGGATCTGCGTTCTGGGTATTGGCAGGTGCCAATGGCTGAATGCAATTGCCCTAAAACAGCCTTTGTAACGCCGGATGGCCTATATGAGTTCAAAGTCGTGCCATTTGGGCTGTGCAACGCGCCTGCCACATTTCAGCGCATGATCGATACCATCTTGCGTGCCCACAAGTGGAAAACTTGCTTGTGTTACCTGGACGACATCATAGTCTTTTCATCTGATTTTCCGACACATCTTGTTCGTCTCCAGAAAATTCTGACGTGTCTAACTTCTGCAGGCCTACAACTTAACACCAAGAAGTGCCACTTCGCAGCACGAAAACTAACCATCTTGGAACACGTCATCACAATAGACGGTGTTCTAAGACATGTCATCATAATAGACGATAAGCTTCGAGCTGTCGCTGACTTCCTGTTGCCCACATCACTAAAAGCCCTAAGAAGTTTTGTCGGCCTCTGCTCCTACTTTCGTCACGTCGTGCGCAACTTCACGTCTATCATCGCACCTCTGACGAGTCTGCTTTCCAACAGCAAAGGTATATCAGCATGGTCACCTGCATGTGACGACGCATTTTGCCAGCTGCACCGCCTGCTGAGCTCACCACCTATTTTTCGTCACTACGACCCCACTGCTGCCACAAAAATTCACACCAATGCAAGTGGCATTGGTCTTGGTGCAGTTTTGGCACAACGGAAAGGCACCCAAGCCGAATACGTAGTCGCCTATGCAAGTCGTGCTCTCAAGAAGGCTAAATTGAATTACTCTGTGACAAAGAAGGAGTGTTTGGCCATAATCTGGGCGCTGACGAAGTTTCGCCCGTACCTTTATGGCCGTCATTTCGACGTGGTCACAGACCACCACGCTCTATGTTGGCTGTCCACCTTGAAAGACCCGTCTGGATGCCTGGGGCATTGGGCACTTCGATTGCAGGAATACGACATCAGTGTCGTATATCGTTCCGGTCGCAAACATGTGGATGCCGATGCACTTTCGCAATCGCCATTAACACTAGATGTGGCTTCTCTGTCACCCCTTTTTACCACCTTGTCACCAATCGACACCACTGACATGCTTTCGGAGCAGCGTAAAGACCCATACCTTGCATTGTTACTCGACTACCTTACCGATCCGTCTGCTGTCCTTTCCACAAGAGCGCTACGCCGGCAAGCAGCCCACTTTTCCATACGAGACAACATTCTGTACCGCCCCAATTGCATGCCTGGTGGTCGGAAGTGGCTCCTTGCTGTCCCAACTCATATGCGCTCTGACATCTGCATGAATTTCCATGCAGATCCCCAAAGTGCTCACGCAGGTGTCCTGAAAACCTACAAAAGGCTGTTATATAATAACAGCCTTTTGTAGGTTTCAGCTAATAATATTACTGGCGAGGAATGTATTGCTTTGTGCAGAAATACGTTCAGTCTTGCACTACTTTCCAACAAAACAAGACACCTCCGCGGCACCTTACTGGCATGTTACAGCCGCTACCGTGCCCGGCTCGCCCATTCGACCTCGTGGATATCGACCTCTATGGCCCCCTCCCATATAGTGGCTCTGGAAACCGGTGGATTATTGTCGACGTCGATCATCTGACACGCTACGCTGAGACTGCAGCTCTACCGACAGCGACCGCCCACGAAGTTGCACTCTTCAATCTGCGCAGCTTCATTCTCCGCCATGGTGCTCCACGAGAATTACTCAGTGATAGGGGTCGAGTGTTCCTGTTGGAGGTCATCCAAGCTATTCTCGTTGAATGCAAAATCATCTACCGGAAATCTACCGCATACCATCCACAGACGAATGGTCTCACTGAACGGTTAAACCGCACACTTGGCGACATGCTGACGATGTACACCTCCTCCGACCACACAATCTGGGATGCTGTATTACCTTTTGTTACCTTCGCTTACAACACCGCGACGCAAGCGACTACCAGTTTTTCCTCGTTCTTTCTGTTGTACGGCCGCGAACCTTCCCACCCACTCGACACTATACTGCCGTACCGTCCTGATACATCTGAGTGCTCCCCGCTTTCGGAAGTCGCCAGATACGCTGAAGACTGCCGTCAGTTGGCTCGTTCTCCGACAAGTGAGGCTCAAGGTCTACAAAAGACCCGACATGACGACATTCATCACATAGCTCCTACGTTTCGTACTGGCTCCCTTGTGTGGCTTTGGGTGCCTCCGCACGTTCCTGGCCTTTCTTCTAAGCTTCTGGCCCGGTACCATGGTCCATACCGTGTCATTGACGCGACCTCGCTGGTGAATTACATCATCGAGCCCCTGACACAATCGCAAGATTTGCGCTGTCGAGGACGCGAGATCCTACACGTCGACCGCCTCAAGCCCTACTACGACCCCCTCATTGTGCCTACTCCCTGAGTCGCCAGGATGGCTACTCTTCACCCCGGGGGTATTATAGTGGAGTATACTCACTAACCCGTATGTGCCTTCCAAAGTGAACGAAAAACCCCGTGCTTCGATTGCACGGGAACCTGTACCGCCTTTGCCAAACTTGCGGTACGCCCATTTTCTGTTGCGACCTCGTTGCGACTTTTCTGTTTGAATAAACATTAACGCATAGCGAATTTCCGAACATCTGCTTATGTGGAAACACGAAAGTGTTTTTTTTTACTAGGTCGATGAAGTGGTGGCAGGATGGTTTTTCATAGTTGGCTTTTCAAAAATGAGGCAATGTAGAAGCCGAATTGTATTTATGTACATGATTTTGGGCAACCAAATTGTTGCCGGCAACACTTTGCACATGAAAGGCAAACTTACTACTTCCTCAGCCTCTCTTCCTATTTCAACTTCTCCAAACTGATGTGGAGGACAAGAGCGTGCACCCTTCATGTTCAAAGTTTCAAATCTGCCTTGCAGATGTCAATATATAAGAACATTTCAAATTTCAGATGCTAAAAATCTTCGGTGTACGATTTTTTTTTGTATGCCCGGCCCCAATTTCAGGTCCAAACAGCATTATTGAGTCCCCACCTCTGCCACTTCTATCATCTCCATGCTGAAACCAGTGTTTTCTTGAGTCAATACATATGCAACCGTTGCATTGCCTGAAAGGTAGTTTTGCTGCAATACGAGTGAGTGATGGAATGAATATAATAAAAATCTGAAGGTGTCAATGTCAATCTGACGTTGAATGTATTTGTTTTTGGGAAGTTCGAATAGCGGAATTTCGGTGCAAATCGAATCAAATAGCAAACACTATTTAGAAGAAATATTCAAAATTTTGAATATTCACATACTCCTACTGTTGACTGATTCAATAGTTGTCTTTTTTCATGTTAGATATTAATAGTGTCATCTATGGAAACACAACTACTATTACTGCAAAACTTATTTGTCTATGTGAGAAAGCCAAAAAACAATATTCACATACCAAGGCATAGACGTGCACTTTGATAGAAAAGTCAGCCCTAAGATCCCGCAAGGTCATGTGGTTGCTGAAGGAGAGAGTATTGGTGCCAGCATTGTCGGTGGTTGAAAGCATTTGGCTGGCTAGCACCTGGGCTCCATGCTTCACCAGGCACAAAAAGTAATGCACATCTTCTCCTGGATATTATTGACACATAGAAAACAAAACAAGACATCACATAAAATAATGATGCCATGAGTAATACATAAAAATTCCAAACATCAAGTTTAAAAGGACCTTACATTTGTAATGGTGAATTGCCCACTTATAAGACCATGTCATGAACACTCAAGCGAATACTGCGCATTTACACACTGAATGCAAAATCCAGTCAAGCTCAAAACAATGTTTGTTACTCGCTTGAAGTTCATGCTACCCTTTAAGTGACAGATTGCTATGATAGCCGTAAAACAGCTATTAGCTAGCTTGTACTGTGAAGATCAAATGCCAATTTACATCCAAGAGTCCCGTGCAGTGAGCAGAACTAATAGTATAAATCTAAAACAAGGAATAAAATCATCATCAGCCTGACTATGCCCACTGCAGGGCAAATGCCTCACCCATGTTCCGCCAATTAACCTGGTCCTGCGCTCTCTGCTGCCACATTAAACCGGCAAATTTGTTCATCTCACCGGCCCACCTAATTTTCTGTCACCCTCTCACATGTTGGCCTTCTCTTGGAATTCAGTCGGTTACCCTTAATGGCCAGCGGTTATCCTGTCTATGTGCTACCTAGAACCAAATTTGGAAAGAGTGCCAGGTAAAAAAATACTAAAAGGTATCACAGTAATCTGCCATGCTAGTGGAGACTCACAGCTTCCAATCACTAAAACAGGGGTCTCAAATCCATGGCCCGCCTGCACATGACTGTCCTCATCCCGTATTATTATTTAGTTTCTTAATAAGCATGCTCATGGAGTCATCAAGCCACAGCAGACAGCTGCTTGCACCACAACAGAACTTGACGGATTCTCTTTCAATGTTTTTGGCTCAATAGCTGACTTCTTAGTGACCCATGGTTTCCGAAGGCCATAGTGCTCACCGCAAGAAAAAAACTGTACCTAGTGACCGCGGTCATTTTCCAGATTGGCATCAACATTTTAGTCATTGTAAACTCGATATTGTCATGCTTTTCCAATCCCAACGCCAAAATCCTCTTCATAAATGAGAAAGAGGAAAGGCTTTCTTTAAAATGGCAACATTCACAGACATTTCGTTGAAACCTACCCCTGTCCCCTCTTTTTCACTCCAATCTCCTTCACTGTCTTGGCTCTTGTGTGGGTAAATTTTATGACTGTGGCTTACTAGCTGACGCGAGTATGAGACCCTGCACTAAAACTTTTTAAATGACAAAGAAGAGCCTCAAAACTTGAAAGGAGGCAACTTATAGCTCATATCAAACAAAATGCTTTGACAAAATATTCTTTTGAGGGACTATTAGTGAGACAATGCCTCTTTAAGTCCACTAAACTTTGACTACATTATAAAATATTTGTAGGATTACTTTAACAAAACAAAACCCATGGTGTAATGATGATATGCTTTGGTACTTGTAAGATGCTGTAAATAAATACAGCAAAGACTTATTATTTCAAAGTCACTCGAGCCATGAGAAAACTTCAAATTAAACAGGTTTTCGAATTAACAGAACATACAAAAAGTGAGATGTAAAGAACTTGGAATTATTCAAAGTATAAGAACTCGTGGTTTGCTGAACCGACTAGCTTGCCGCTTCAAGAATTGTTTTCTAGCAGTACCTGGTCCCAATTTTGCCGCAAACCCAGGGGAATGGTGGGCTTTGCTGCTGTCTTAAAAAAAGAAGAAAAAGAAAGCTGTTGTGTTTAATTGAAGTGCATGCCTGCAGAAAACAAGACATCTTCACTGCAATAGAGGAGTGACACGCGGGCAGCTTGTTGCCTCCTCCTCGCTGCGTCAATACGTCACGACGCGATCATTCGCTCATTTTATTGCGATAGCAATCATATGGACACTCTCGGCTGAAATTTGCCGTCGGCGTCGACGTCAGCATCATGCACTGTATATGTATACGTATCTATATATATGAAAACGCAAGAAAGAAAAAGATAAAAAAAAAAAAAAGACTCTGGCACGCGGCCGCGTCGTGAATGCGAGGTGTTAACCACTGAGCTACCAAAGGGTACCTCTTTCGACGTTCAAACGGCAAGCTATTCATATATACCACTTACCGCTGTTGGCAGGCATCTTGGGGGGAACTATCGTGTTTTCAGCATTATCAGCAAGATGACGCAGTGAGCGCGCGGCGGCTCTCATTTGGCTCTCATTGCTCACGCATACTTTGGCCCGCATAGAGAATAAGGGGGTGTAGGCTCGATCGCACACCCTTATCTTGCAGTGGAGAGAATCGTACGTCTTGACTAGCCTTTGTGTTTTGTGTGAACGATTCTGTTGTAGTTACCAGGTGCACAGCCTCCATTTGTGAAAGGGGCGCGCTTTTCAGACACAGCGAAGCAACAACCGAGACGCTTATTCGCATTCATCTGTACCTGTCAGTACGTTTCATGTGTTATTTGTGTGTGAGAAACGCAGGGCACGTTTCGACCTGCGTGCCATTCTGCAGGTGACCTTCCAATTTGTTGCTATTGCGTCAATTGCTTCGCCCTTGCGACAAAGCTGTGACTTTTTTCTCAAGTAAAAAAATAAGAATTTAATAATGGACAGTGTTACAGAGATTGCAAATATTTTGGCTAGAAAACATGATCATTGAAGCTTTAACTTAGTTTTAGAAGTAGGCGTTGCAGGCAGGAACTTCGCCAGCAGTGCAAGTGTACAAATTGGTGGAGCAACTGGCAATCGAAGGTTTGCATACATCGCGAATTCCAGCAGACTGTCCTTTATTGATTTCTTTACATTCCAGAAAGAATGGGTAAGGAATGATGTGCTGATGTTGCAAAAAGCATGCAATATGCTGCTCGCGTGTCACCGCTATGTTGCAGTGAAGCATGTGTTGTTTTCCACAGGTTCACACTTCGGTTTACTACGAGAGTTTTTTTACGCGATAGCATTAAAGAGCTCGTTTCGCAGCGATTCCGGCATTGGTGTCGCTGGTTGGGAGCGAAAAATCATCATTTTATGCGTGACTGAAAAATCAAGACCTATGCAAATGAAACAAATAATAAAAAATCCTGGGTCAGAGTGCGGAGCGAATCCGGGTCATTTTGGTCCGAGTAAGGATCGAACCCAAATCGTTTGTGTGGAAAGCGGATGTTCTACCACAAAGCCACGCCGATGCTTGTGAATACAGTAAACATAATTTTCTCTGCTTGGAAATGCAGTGAAAGTAACTTTCATGCTTCACAAACACATGCGTCCTGTATACATGCTTCATAATACACCACCAAATATTGCAGCAATAATGTCTTCTTCATCTTCATTTATTTTCCCTTAAAGGCTCCTGTTGGAGTATTACATAAGGGGAGGGGGGTAACATAAAAACTTAGACATGAGACTCGTCAGGTCACAAATTTGAAACACACATCTCAGTGAAATAGATTACCTGTTTAGGTGCAAAATAAAAACATTACAATTTAACAAGACATGAAAAACAGTGTAAGGTCGTAATGAATATTACAGCGTGAGGTGATCAGTGAGCAACTGCTTAAACACAATGGGGTTACGCTCGGTGACAACACTATCTGGCAATATATTCTACTCTGCAAGGGCGATCGGCAAAAAAGATTGATTGAAAGAAGACGTTGAACCATGCAACCGCTGGATGCTGCAAGAGTTAAAAAGGCGATGAGATGTACAGTGTGGGGGATTTAGGAGCTTGCCACGAAGCATGGTAGAAGTGTACATTGCCATCCGTCATCACAGCATGTGATTATCATATTAATTCATGGTTTAAAGCCGGTCACTAACTACAAAAGGCACACACCTTACTGCACCTATTCCCTTAAGGCCACGTAGTGGGTGCATAGCAAGTTTGAACAGATTTTGTGCCCTCAGTGTTTGAAGTACGCACTGAGGACAGGATATCGCTATCGTGTCCAACTCTTAAAGTGAAGCTTAAGAGTCCCACAATTTCTTTTTCCTTTCATTGTTTATGCGGAAAGTAGTGACGCTGGGGTGCTTTTGCTGTCACTAATTAGTATCACTACCTTGCACTGCCTTTTGGCTCTTAAAGGGCCCGTAAACCACCTCCGATATTTTTTCAAGCATTTCAAGTAAACACACGTATCGTGTGCAGAATTCTGTCGCAATAAACGATTCTACACGCGACAGCACTACGAGCTGCCGGCCAGCTGCAAATTCCAAGAAACAATCCCTCCTCCTTTCGGGCCTCCGCGTGACGCGCCATGCCACATCTCTGACTCGCCAAACTAAATATGCCAAATATGCTGTAACTGCTCGAGCAAGAGCCTATGACTTCTGGTCAGTCTGCAAGCAGCTGTCCACGCTGCTTGTGGTTGTTCGTCGTGTTGTGCGTGTAACATGTGCGGGGCACGGTGTGTCCCCATCCGAGTCTATCGCATTAAAAATCCTTTGAAGGCGTGCACGCAACACAGATTTCATACCGGCACGATTACAGAAGCCACGATTCACCAACAAGCACACAACTGACGGAGTCAACGGCCGGAGTCGCGGCGACCGGAAGTAGACGGTATTTCAAGCAGCGTGTCAGCGAGGACGTATTCCACGCGAGATTTGGAAGGGAGCTCAGCGAGAGGGCAAAGCGGCGTGCGAGAGGATACCAGTGGAGGGAAGCACAGGAGAGAGCAAAAGGTGTGGTCGTCACGGTTTGTTAATCAAACGCGTCTAGCTCTGCTATTACTGCACCGTTTTGAAAAATTTTCACGCCTCTGTGTTTGTAACACAATCGCTCAAAATTTCCCTCCCACAACTGAATTTAGACCTCTGGGTGGTTTACGATCCTTTAAGGGCCGCCGTATCCACAGATTTGTGGTGAAACTGGGATCGGGACTTGGCACATGGCACCCAACGTTTTTGAATTGACCAGACTGGTGCTGGCCACCGCTTCAAATTATCTGCTTTGACTTGCACTACAATATACGGGACAGCAGAAATATTTCAAATTAAGTGGGATTTCAAGATAACAGAGTTTGATTTAATTAGGCTTTGCTGCATATTGTTGTGATTGTGTTAGTGCATTTATGAGAAACTTAGATATACTCTTCCTTATGCTCATCTTTCACTCGATGGTGTTCACCTTGTGAGAAGGAGCAACATGAAGGCACCAACATATTATCCAGCATAGACAAACTACTGTAAACTGGTGTCTTAGAATTCGTGCTGAATGTTGGGCTACATACACAGTAGCTCCTACAAAGGGGGTGCTCGGGGAGGCTGAGGGGATGATCGCCTAAGGCAAAAAAACACTAAAGTGAAACAATGAATCAATTTAGCTTGATTAATTGTACTCTGAGAATTCTAATGACGTTATTTTCCCATCGTAGCTTTACTGGCAGAGAAGAACACCAAGGTCGAAGTAACACTTTTAAGTTTCACGCCGAAATATCTTCACGAAATCTCCTCCTATGTCATACATATCACAGTGTATTTTTCGTATTTCGGCCACAATGGCTCAATGAAAATTTCTGAAGGTCGGTACACTAAATCCCTGGCCCCTCAGAGGGTATATACTTCATATTTACCAATTATAAGTTACGTGTAAGCCCTTGTAGACACTGTGAAAATCTGTGAAGTCACAGTGATTGGTACAGGAACTTCAAGGTGGCATCATTACCTGCATTTTATTTTTTCGTCTTTCCTTGCTTACCAAGCATCTTTCCGTGACAAACATGGAGATTTTCGTAATGCACTTTGATAAAGAACTACTGCAAATGAACATAACTTGTCATCAGCCTATGTCAGAGAAAATGTGATGCAACATAACATTACTCCTGGAGTTCTGGATAATACTTACAATGTCAAATGGGGCACACAAGTGCAATAATTGTCTCTCAACCCCTTTAATTCTTACACAAAAGAAAGATATCCAATTTTTAAGTCCTGGCCTGGCATTTATTACCGATTAAATTTCTGAGGACGAAACGTATGTGGGTTTTGTTTAAACACCTTAGTTTTCTTTATATGTATAGCCAAATTTTCGGATGAGCATGCACACATAAAATCATTTGCTTCATAGGTGAAAAGCCCACTGGTGCTGCAGCCTAATCCATAAACCCATATGTTAATGTAACCAATGTTACATATCACATATCAGAAGTTAGTCAAAATATGAATATGAGACTATTCTAAAACATTTGAGAATAAGGAGAATGAATTAGGAGCAGAAGGTTTTTGCTACGACCATGTGAGGGTAACACACAATGAAGCTAAGGATACAGTGATACTTTGCTGCTTTTATTAAATTGATCAATACTGCTTTCTGGGCAAGTTACTTCATAAGAAAGTTCTAACATGTACGGGTACACTGAAATGTATGAATTATAAGAATAATATAAATGACAGTCTATCAAAGGACAACATGCTACAAGCGGAAGCCAAACCCACATCCGCATTTCGCATAGAATGCTGCACCACTGAGAACTGTGGCAACCACCTTACTGAACAAATTCTCATATACTATATCAATGGTCATAATTTCCGGGGTTTTACAGGCCGAAACCACGATATGATTATGAGGCATATCGCAGTTGGGGCTCTGGATTAATTTTCGATGCTGCTTAGATTTAGGTGAATGTTTTTTTAACATGCACCTCAATCTAAGTACATGGGTGTTTTGCATTTTGCTCTCGTTGAAATATAGCTGCCATGGATAGCAGTCAGACCTATGCTCTCGAGCTTAGGAGCAAGACACCTTAAGCACTAAAGCGGTTTGTAGCATAGGGCAGAAACAGATGAAGACATGCACTAACTTCAAATTGGCACATTTGTCTGTTTGTTATTTCATCTTTTTTCCTCGCCTGTTTCTGTATTATGCTACAAGCCAGTTTATGATGATCTAACAAGCCCAAATGATCTAACAAGCCCAAATTGGTACACTTCTGTGCTAAGCTACCATAAACAAGCAAATTCGTGGGTATTATGCATATGTACTAGATCTAGACCTTGCCTTGTTAACCATTCCGTCAAGACCATGGCAGTGAATGCTTCATAACATGCAGTAAAGGACATAGGAGCAGGTCAATAAACCCTAATATGCAAACTTATCAAACCAAGACTTTTTTATAAATCTTAGCACAAGCCAAACATATAAATACTGCTGAAATAAACTGCATAAACATGAAATAAAAATGTGCCTACCAAGTATTCCTTCGAGCTGAGCAGCCAGAAATTCTCTCTTGAGGGGCAGCTGCAGTTGGCTGAGAGTCAGACAGGCCCTTTCTGGAACCACTTCGTCATCTCCACAGGCACCACGTGTCTTGAGTCGTTCAACTTCTGCCAGGCAAGCTTGTCTACGTTCCGCTAATGGTTCAAAACAAACCATCGTAGGAAGTTATTTTCAGAGGGCAACAATGAACCCAACTTTCACCACACACAGGTGGCACTTTAACCTAATACTCACTTGCAAGCAAAAGCAGGCGTTCTCCTTCTACTTGTTCAGCAGAGCCAAGAAACTCCACTGTGGAGCGACACACATCCAATGCCCGGCTTGCTTGAGCCATCACTACTGACTGAGCTTCTGCTTCCTTGCACAAAGCCTGTAAAATAACAGCAGACCAGGAATGAGACAAAGGCTAGGGCACTGATGCTGTCTAGCATTAAGGTCAAGGTATCACAGTCGAATTATGAGGTACTCGGACATGCATAAAGAGCCACGCACTATTTCCATATGTGCAAAACGGCCTAAAAAAAAAGTTGATGCTGCAACTTTTTTTTTAATGGCCAGCACTAATGACAGTTAAATGTACAGTTAAATGCACATCAAAGTGGGTTCATCTTGTCTACATTATTCTTGCCCAGGAGTACTCCAATAAAGCATGTAAACAGGGTCTACATCAGAACATGATGACTGATAATGCTGCACAGTGTATTACGAAAAACTAAACAATGTTAAAGATCGGTTTAGATGTTATTCTAAGATGCATCTTGACCTTTGTTTTTATGATACAAAGTTATATCGGACAATCTTTCATCTAAGTAATGGTCGGAAGCAGAGATGTTACAGGTTTTCCAGCTCACTTTCAAGTGCCAGCTTAAATAATCCACACACCATTGAAATAATCTGAGCACCAAGCCATTTAATCTATGTGCCAAACATTTATTCCAAGCGCCAACATATTTAATCTAAACCCCAACTCAATTGGGCCATGTGCATGTGAATTTAATCCAAGCGCCACCATGCTTAATACAATTGCCAAAGACTTTAAGTCAGGTGTCAGTCAGTTTAATCCGTGCACAAAGCAGAATATGGGGCATAAAAACAGCAGTACAACTGAAATGCAGTTCCTACAATATATCAGATAAAAGTCACAAAGTAGAACAAATCATTATTATTCGTATTCACCACTAGTATTTAAGAAAAAAAAATTACTGCTAAGCCATGTTTGTACTTGGGTATGTACAAGTTTGTAGGCGAGTGCTTGGCCTGGGTGAAATCATTTTAATGGTACCGAAAAAAAAAAAGCAGGAACATGTTAATGAATAGTTTGTGTTCGTCACTAAAGCTCATAATTAGATTTGTACAGCACTACATGACCGGGACAGGTCATGTAATGCGAAGGACAGACTATGGTTATTGGAGTGCCAGAATGCATACTGAAATATGGAAAACCTGGCCGTGCAGGTACATAATCAAGACATTAGAAAGCCCTCACAGGGTAGACCGAATCAGAGATAATTCGAAGACGTTTTCACCCAGCAGTGCACATAATACGTAAAGTCATGATCCTGATGTGGACAACAGAAGTCATATTTCACATTGATATTAACGGTTATTTATTTTTTTACTCAAACAAAATTTTGTGTATCCGATGAAACACGCGTGTTTCAAGCAAACATGCTTCAGCAACACTAGCGTCGTCTGTTACATGAAAACAGGAGTAACTCCTTTGATGCTTTATAACAAATTTAATTCCACATGAGCCTAAATAAATGCAAGTTTAGTTTTTAATGGTTACATCTGATTTCAAAAACAGATTAAAATCATCTGTCGGTCACCATCATTCTCACCAGGCTGAGCAACGACTGTGAACGCCTTAGCGAATAAGCAGCCAAATGCTGTCTGCTGAGCAGACGGCATGGGTCTCTGCATATGCGATGGTGTAGATAATTAGCTGGAATAATTCAGTAACGATGAAGCATAGACTAACATGGACTCTATGACCAAATACATTTAGTACCCGTAAATGCTATTAATACATACTGTTCTTTGAATTTGAAGCTATGACACCAAAACGTTAGGGGTAAATAGCACTGCAATTCATAAGCATTAGTATGTAAAGGCAAGCGAAAAGTTCTTCCTGTCGCTTCATGTTTACATTATTTTGACATTTAAACTGTATAAATGGGGATAAAACCCGGGTCAAACCATGTGTTTCTAGTGCATGTATTAAACTGACTGGCACCTGAATTAAAGCTGTTGGCAACTGGAATAAACATGGTGGCACTTGGATTAAACTCACCGGCACGCAGCCTGAGTTGGCACTTGGATTAAATGTTTGGCACATGGATTGAATAGCTTGGCGCTCAGATTATTTCAATGGCGTGTAGATTACTTAAGCTGGCACTTGGATTAAAGTGAGCAGAAAAACCTGTAGTTCCACTTATAAAATATAGACTTGTTTTCTTTGTTTTTTTCCTGTGAAGCCATTTGTAAAATTTTCCAGTCACTTGTTGCATTTTTAGTGCTTATTTGCATTTTTCCTGCAAGTATAGATATTTTAGATCTTGTTACATTTACTAATAGCACATGTCGTTGACTTTGTGTATAACCCAGTGCTGAAACAAAACATCTGTAGGGGAGAATAAAAGCAATGTTATTCATGCACTAGCAAAATTTTATGAACTGATTTTCGCAGCACAAAAAAAGAAGTTAATTTTTTGCCTTTTCTTCTTACACGAGCAACCTTTTTATGATAGTTAAAATTGTTTCCAAAAATGACAATATACATTAAACTTGCACTTCTTTTGTGCTTCTTTACAAGCGTCATGCCACTTTTTTGGCCTTCTTTTAGGATGACTGTTTGCTAGCTAGGTTGGCACCATCTCGCATGGGCATAGAAAGCCAAAATGAGCAAGCAATAAGCAAGATAGAAAGAAATCTCACTGTTTCAACACTGAACAAAGCCACCTCCAAAAAAACCTAAGGTGCATTAAATTTTTCATTAGGAAAAGGGTAATCAGACCCCCTAGCAGTTGCTACCATCATCTTAATCATTTTACTGTCATCGAAATGCATACAACATTGTAATCATCAACTTTAATATTGCTTTCTGTGCCCTTTAAACATAATTGCCACAACACTCAGAGAGCATATTAGTTGTAAAGCCCCTAAAAATCAAGTTCCAAAGCTGTATGATAGCACAGCAGTTAGTGCTGCCATATTTCAATAGCAGCCTCCTTCTCTTTTGACTTCTTATATGAAAGCCGACATGGCAGTGGCGACATGGCATGGCAACCTCAAATGGTGTTTTTGCTTGTAACTACAGGTGTGTGAATATTTGAAATTTCAAATATTTTTCTAATAGTGTTTGCTATTTGATTCGTTTCAAACTGGAATTTTACTGTTCAAAACTATTCGAACTTCCTGAAGACAAGTACAGTCAACATCCGATTGAAACTGACCCATTCACATTTTCAATATCCTTCCCCTCATCACATTCTCGTATTATGGCAAAGCTGCCTTTCAAGCTCCACTACGGTTGTTAATGTATTGATTCAAGAAAACGCTGCTTCCAATGTGGAGATTACAGATACGGCAAAGATGAAGTTTCAATGCTGTTCTAAACCTGAAATTTGGCCCGGATGTTCAAAAAATTGGACGTCGAAGATTTTTAGCATCCAAAATTTCAGATCTTATGTATATTGACGTCTAGGAGACAAAAGGGAGCACACCCTTGTGCACCACATCAGTTGGGCTTCCACAGAAATTGAAAGAGAAGGAGAGGCTGAGGAAATTTCATCTTTGCCTTTCACATGTAAATTGTTGTCGGTAACGCTTTGGTTGCACCAAATCACGTGCATAAATACAATTCAGCCTCTGCATTGCCTCATTCTGGACAGGACAACTACTAAACAAACCCACCAGCATTTCATAAACTGAGAAAAGAAAATTGTGAGTAAGCGCGACCAGACAAGGACGTAGAAGGGAACTGACACGAACAGAGCACTACTTTCAACTGATCTTTTATTGTCAACAGCACCACTGTGTTGCATGGATGCAAACTAGCCCGCCAATGAGTTTTAGAGAAAAGAAACTTTTGTGTTGCTATTGCATAAGAATATGCTTAGGAATTCTCTCCAACATTTTTTCAAATTCACTTCGCACACAAAATTACGCTATATTCACACAGCTCTGCTTGTAACTTAGTTTTGTACACTAAATATTTTTAAATACCCACTGAAAATAAACATAATTTTTATATTTATATTTCAGTTTCTCACATTTTTGTCAAATGGAAATTTTCGTTGCTGTGTAATGGAATGAACGGTACAGACAAATACGACAAACCCGATTTCGAGCTCTTTATTGCTGACATAGTGAAATTTCCACAATGCTCAAGCCAACTTACCCCTGGTCTGTCTTTACTTATACAAATGAATTTTACCTTAGCTGCCTACGACTAACAGCACAATTTTACCAGAAGAATGATACATTACTTGCTTAACTGAACACTATGTTCATAAATACTTATACAATCCTTCAAATAAATACTTAATTCAAGACTTGACATGAAAGCACATACTCCATATGCAGAAATGAAGCTGGATTATATAAGAGTTACATCCATCTAGCATAAATGCAGAGACAAGCAATATCCTAGCAGTACCGTCTAAATGAAGCTAGGGCCAAAGTAGTGTGTTGCCTTCCATGAGAGCTCTTACAGATCCAAACACCCAGTATTGGCTTAACTCTCAAGATACCCCTTTTTCCCAGTCACCCCTAAGCTTTGCAAGGCTGCATGTGGGTGGGTATCAGCCCCACGTGTTCTGCCACCATGATGTCACAACACGTGAAACGCCTACAACCTGCACATGCTCCTGCAAGGACTTCATGATGAGCTAGTGCAGAAACTTAGGCTGGACTTTTTTTTTTAACTTTTATATTACTCCTTACAAATGCTCCCTTCATGATAAAAGTGGTGGTTTGACTATGCAGAAGTATAATATAACACAGCCTAACATAACATTCGTATTTATTGTTCTGATGGTCAAACCGATATTCATAGAGCATTTGCATTCGCATTCGTGCCTACCCACCATGCCCCCCACCCCTATCACTTACCCATGCTTGTACTTGTATAACATTTTACTACTAGTCACATGTGTTTATGCTCGTGTCAATTTACACTAGCCAGTGCTCAAGTTGACTCCATTCACACTGAATTGCAGTTATGCTCATACTCATACTATACACTTATGCCCATCAATACTAGCTGAGGTTTATAATCGCACCTCATGCCGAGTGCTTTTTCGGATTCATACCCAAATCAATTCACAATCATCCGCACTCACTCAGGCACATACAAGTCTCTACTGATACATGCTAACTCGTGTTCATATTCATCTTCCCTTGTACAGCACCTGTCAGTCATTCTCACATGTGCTTTGTCCCTCAATCATAATTATGATTGAAATGTGTACAAGCGTGATGGAAAATTTGACTGTGTACATTTTCCACAAGCTACTACATACTTTATTTCAGTTGCCCTCTTTGGTCTTCAAGGGCTTTGTAGCATTCTGACAATTTTGTAAGAACTACTACTTTTAAAAATCTGATCAAGTTATGGTCACATGACAACCAATAGATCTCTTTTCTGCCTATGTCACTACAGTAGCTTCAGCCTGAGTTGCATGGGTTGCTTCTGCTTTCTGTGTATACTCATAGGTGATTCTGGTGTGCTTGCTCTAGTACCCTCTGAGAGTTCAACAAATAATTGGCCTGTGTGGCAGTACTTTAGCTCAAATTTCAAGTTATGATAGCCACATAATATGGCCAATCAAGTATAACATTAGTGATTATGCCGATACCTTATGCAAAATTATGTCTGACACAACATGGTATACCAAAACATGCTTCAACAATAAAGAGCAAAATGATTGTTAACATGCTAATAAAGTTTAATTTCACAATCCCCAAAACACCACTCTTTGACACGACGCTTGCGAAGAAAATGCTCGAAAAGAAAATGCACGTGGGGCCGTTATAGATCTTGAAGGCCTCTACTGGGTCCTACATAGCTTCTAATCAATAAAAATGAAGTACATTGTCACCTGCAGGCGCCATAGACCTAGCGTATGAAAAATACATTTAAAAATTTTTGATGTCACATGCCGAGATTATGGTGCAAAATAATAAAACGAAACTTCAACCTTAACTTTCTCCGCTAATAATGAGCTTAGGATAGTGAAATATATGGCATTAGAGTTCTCAGAGGGCTGTTTGTCAATCTAAACTAAGTCATTGTTTCTCTTTAGTATCCCTTCATGTACATCGTAGCATTGGAATTTATTATATGTAACTGGTGCAATAACTTTATGTAGCAACAACGAATAATTTATAATGAACATAGTCTCCGCTAGCAGTACCTGCAAGTGAGGCTACACTACACTTACTCTTATCTGCGCTTGTATGTCCATCTGGCTGGTCAATTGTACTGGAGACGGAAGCTGCATCTGACATGCCTTAGCAGGCTGCTCCACTTGTTGTATCGGAGTGCACACCTTACGCCTGTAAACACTCTGCGTGTGCACAAGTGGCTGATCATCCTCTGGGGGTGGAAGAGCCCTGCTGGGCTTAGGTGGAGGAGTAACTCTGAAACAAATACAAAGCTAGCTAAAATACTGGTTCAACTAAGTACTCAACCTTTCAGTTATTGCGATACAGCATGGCCACCCCACGCCTACTGTCTCTTTGCTCAACCATCTCCAATTTTTTCGGTTGTTTTCTTAGAAAAAGAGACTGATAATTTGAGTCTCCAGAGAAGCCTTTCCTCACATTACTTTTAGCAAGAAAATTTTTTTTTTGGCATTTCAAAACTCTGCGAAATCGCCCTAATGGGGGCAAATAGTGTACAAGAAAACAATTAACTGAAAATAGAATTTTTTATTTACTGGTAAAATATGTGCATTATTATAGCTTCCAGACATGATTTAATTACTAAAAATAATTTAAACACCATCTCATTATTTTTCTTAGCATAATTTACTCCTAAAAACAATAAAATCAGAGCATTTTTTGGTGCTACTTTTATAATGGCAGGACATGAAAACTCATTAAAGGTGCATAGAATTGTTCCCAACACCTATGGTCTCAAAGTCTGATTTGTTTCCTAGTTCTACCAACAGGTTTCGGTAAACAATGAAGAAATAGTATAAGAAGGGCTATGGACCTGTGTTTAAGAGGTAAAATAGAGCCCTGTAGGGGTCCTTTGAATAATGCAGCAAACAGTAGTAGCATATAGATGGTTTTCCACAGCGGCGAACGAGTGCTGCCACGTTTAAACATGTGATCTAATGGCCTTCTCCTTTCCACTTCTTTACAATCGCCAATGGCCGGCCCATACGCTGCCGCCACTCCCGTGTTGAAGGCCAGCAAAGCGGGCGCAATGCATAGCCCGCCCCCCCCTGACAGAAATTAGGTGCCTTTTTCCTTTTACAAGAATAACTACCACCACAGTTTCAGGCCGTGGGCTGAAAGGCAACGTCCGCCACATGCCACATCGCGGCCGGGCTGCTGAGGAGAAGGCCCTGGCGCTTCGGTGCCATCTAGTTTTGCATGTACAAACTAGCTGCGGAAAACGGTCTATAACATAAGCTGTTACAATAAAAAAGTAATTTTTGTTTCATGAAAAAAGAAGAAAAAATTGAAGTGACAATCGAGGGTTGGCAAAATATGATTGTGATTGACCTCACCGCACAATTTTATGGCAAGAAATACTAACCTGATTAAACATAGCACTGAAATTTAGGAGATAGATGCACTACACTCAAATTAAGGGTTGGACAAGGTTGTGCAAAAAATGTGGTTCGGCTCACGCTTTCTGCTTCCAGTGAAATATTTTTACTTAGCCTCTTTCTTTTCTCGTATGCAATGATTATACAACAAACTTATTTTAGTCACAACTGTTCATGGTACTTCACTGAACTTCCAGATTTTAGCAATAATCATTGGAGCTGTTTATAATTGAAACTATTTCTTGATCAGCTATTGGACATAAATTTCCAAATGGCGACAATATAGTTAAATATTCTGTTACAATTCTCATTTCTTGCATTTCCTGAGAATTAAGGCAGCTCAAGTAAAAACATGCATGATAACGTGAATTTATGCACCAATGCCTCAGAATATTTTTTTAAGGTTATGCTTAATAAATGCCAGAAAAAGTTTCTTTCTGGCATTTCTAGCTGAAGACTGAGCTCAAAACAACACAGTACGAGAGTACATAGACAAAATACTTACGTAGGAACATCATTCCAGTCCATGGTAGGAAGTTCAGGGTACAGACGATTTTTTGATACTTCTTTCTTCAAGGAACCAACTACGCACTCTTTTTCTGGAGAGGTGCCTTTTTTGTTGACTTCCAAATTATGATGACTAAACTCTTCTTGGCTCTCTCTCGTGTTTTCTGTCATTAGAGCCTTTTGCTTTGCTATTTCTTCCTCTAAAGCCTTTACCCGAGCATAATGTTCGTTATATGCAGCCATATCACAGGGATTATTGACAATTTCTCCAGCTGCACTTCCAACATCTTCTAGTGTTTGTTCCGAGCTATTTTCTAAGCTGGACTCATCTATACCTTCTTCATGAGTTGAGCTTAGAACTTCTAGCTGCACTGTTGTAGGGCTATCACTCGAAGTTGGTGAGTCAGAGCTACTCTCTGAAACAATGTTAATATGAGGCTTGTATTCACACTCCTGCGATGAGCCAGTGCCTGACGTGTCCACACAATTTGGCGTAGGCTGTACCTCAGCAGAAAAATGTGCATGTGTGATGCTTTCTACGCTGCCAGTAGCACTTACAGGAATCTCTCCAGGACAAGCAGTGTTAGAAACAGATGACAGCAACGTAACAGTTTTAAAGCTTTGAAACTCTGGTGTCAATTCCCGTTCCTTCTGTTGCGTCATAGCTTCCAGTCTGGCACGTGCCTCAGTAACACTGCAGTGTTGCTCTCGCTCCTCCACTGTGGCCTCACAGTGACTTGGTGCAGCAGAAGTTTTGACTTGAGAACTTGAAAGCATTGCCGGAGGCTTGTTTTGCTTCACTGTCTGAAAAAACAAAAAGAGAGAGATTACATGTAGAATGTATAACACAGACAGTTTTAACATTCAGAACAGCTACAGTGGAGGTACATTAAATAAAGAACTAACAAAAATACAACAAAATAGCAAAGAGTACAACATGACACACGAACATCATGGTACAGTAGCCCAGTAATAAACAAAATATGACTTATCAGAAGCTCAGCATTGGAGAAGAGCACCTTATGGAAACAGGAGATCTTGCTAGTAGCAAACATACACATCTCAACAATGTTCATCCTCTTCATTCCTTCAACATAAATTGAAAATTGAGCAAGAGATTTATCATAACACAGTTATACATGTAATTATAAATGTTGAAATGACACTAGTTGAATATTACACACGGCTCTGACATTTCAGGACCCATTCAGTCCATTCTTTAGGAAGTGATTGTAACAGATGTGGAACCAGTGTAATTTTTTTCTATTCCCTCGTACTTGTGGCACTTGCCATGTACAAGTGTTTTACATAACAATTGCTGCAAGAATGTTCAAACGATACAGTAGCATGCAAAAAATTTATCAGAATAATAATAAAAAAAAAACCTTTTTGAACTTGAGATCTAGAAACCACGATTTAACACTCTACCAGCCTCCTCACAGTGACCATACACCACCCATAAAGCAGACACTAATGCAGGCCCAATGCACCCTGATAATATGAGATCACCGATGCTATGGCACTACCTCTGCTGCTACAGCTTGTCATCAAAATTTCAGGTGTTTCCTAGAATGGCGTGATACCAATGCTATCGTGTTCACCAAACGAAACCAAATTCTGCTCCACTCCTTCGATGAATGTACATGAAAAACTGTTGCATGCCACAAACAAAAATCAGCGGTCTGAAATCGCACAAAAGCAAAATGACAATTTGAATTGTAGCAATATCTTTTATGGTGGCCATGTTTCATATATCTCAACATATACTGTATGCCGAATTTTACGAATAAAAAAATCCATTACAGCATAGCGAATTACAGTCTCCACTATGCATTGTCTGCACAAATATCTTTCAAGTCAGCTTTATCATTACCTATTATAATTTTATGGATCAGAAAACAGCATGGCTTCTAACTGCATGCCGCTCCAAAAATATTTCTCGGCTGCTTAAAACTTGTTGCAGCAGTGTGTTTACAGACGGAAAAAAATATAATAATAATAAACTTTCATTTGTGGTACATTAGCCTGTTCCAAAAAAAGGAAAAAAACTAAAAAGAAAAGATACGGAAGACAAGAAAAGCAAGAATTTTGCACACGAAAGGAAAAAAGACAACAGAGTGAGAACAGAAAAGAAAAAAAAATTGAGATATAAAAAGAAAAAAAGCTGAAAAAGAGAGATAACATACCTTTACGCACCTCCTCTGCATCTGCTACTAGGAAAAAGTAATGAAACTAATACGCAAACCAGCTTGACACTAAGGGGGCGGGGAGGGAGGGGGGGGCAGTAATTAAAAGTCTTATGATTTTACAGAGCACTCATTTCAAAAGAGGAGTTTAAATCAACAGGCAACTCCTACTCTCACAACAAACAAGAAAAGCAAGAACTCCAAGACAATCCCTTCAAGCTGCGCATCGCAAGAATTCATCACTGAAGATTAAACTCGGCCGAATATGTTAGCAGCAAGAACAACATAGTAAAGCGAAATGCATCTACTCGAGTCAAGCGAAAGCCAAGTAAAGACGTCCTTGACTGAATTCCGAACTCCCGATCCAGTACCTACATATACGGAAGGGGTGGTCAGTGAACAGTAGTGCAGCGCGAGCAGTGCCTGCGTCGGTCTTGCGAGGCGAGAAACTGGGGGTAGCGACAGTTGGCACCAGACGCGAGCATGCGCAGTAGGGTCTAGACACCACCGCCGGCGTCAGATTCACGAGTGGGTGCGACTATAAAATGCTCCACATTTAAATGAAGCTTGCATCATGCCTGCACCTGAAATGCAGACCCAGACAACTGTACATATGCTGAACAGGAGTGATGGGACGCTCCTGACAATGTACTCTCACTGCTTACATCACGTATTTAGGCGTACTTAAGTATGCTGTTCTTATAACTTTTATGGTGAACAAAGCTCCCTCCAATATCAGGTGCTGAAACATCAGTAAACTTTGTGTTCTATGGGTCGGTGTATCCTTTCATGTTTACACTAAGAATCAAGAGTTATGCACTGCCTTTTTTTTCCCACAGGCATTCTAGCAGCTCACTGCATTTGAAAGAGAGACTTTTTAAGCTTTGATCAATGGTAATGCTTATTTTTGTGACGGTCGCACAAAACTGCTGTCAGTTTCCATGACCTGGCCAGGTTTTTCAGAAATTATCTGACTTTTACAGGTTTTCCAAGTTGGTAGATACCCTGATATACATATAGAAACTGGATCTTGACCTGCAATGTAGTGCCGGTGGGACGTTTCTCTTGTGTGTAGTCGAACAATGAAGATTCATAGCATGCACGTTAACTAAAAGCGGACTGCATCCTTCACCCCTTCCCAGGTTTCACATTAGCGGAGCTGAAATGCTCTTGCCTAGATTGCACTCCTCCCCATTTTCGTGGCTCGTGCTCAGATTCCACGACAGGCAGACTTGGCGTGGTGGCTGCGCAAACTGTCTCCATTGGTGGGTGCAGGTGATAAGCGACAGCATGCGAAAAGCCAGACACCTATGATTTTTTTCCTCCTCAGTTGATAGTATTTATCTCCAACCCCTAAAATATTTTTGCACTTAGTGTGGCATTGCACTGTCTTTGGGATAAGAGTCATTGCAAGCTTTCTACACCTCATGCGCCTCAAAGAGCTATGGCCATGTGAAAATGTCATGTGATGACACCATCATTCGATACCGCATCATGCAGTGTAATAGTGACACCACTATGATTTCATGATGGGGTTTAAAATTCTGGTAATATGCGATGTCATAATGAAGTCACAATGATGTCATGAGGTCACATTTTTGTATGATGATGACTTTCTTTTCATCACTTTTGTTGGCACCTACAGTTACCTTCAGCATTTTATGAGCCATCTAAGGTGTTCACCTTAAAGACTGGAACCAAGGGCCGTGGCAAAATTTAAAAGCCCCTTCTTTAAAATAATGAATGAGAGATGATGTAGAGAAAAAAAAACCATCCTTGGGAGGCAATGGCATTGCTAGCACAAGGATGCATGACGTATTATTTTTTGTCTGTGCACTATGCTCGTGATGTGTGTATTAAAACAGTTTCACTTTTATTCAAAGAAAGATTATACAGGATGTTTCAATGATTGTGTCCAATATTCTTTAAAAAATCAGGAAAAGGTGCTATTTGCTTGCTGTCTTAACAGTTGTTTTTATATAGTGGCAGGCATCTTAAGAGGGTTGAAGATGTTATTCGGAATGGTAATAAGGAAAGTTAAAATAATTAACTTTTCAATTTGTGGAGTTGGGCAGTAAAGTCAAATAGGAAAATTTAAGTCTTTCGTGTAAAAAAAACAATTGCCGCTTTGAGATTTCAGAAAAGCGGCCTCTGGTAATAACTGCAAATTAATGAAATTCTCCTTAAGTCTGCGGCGAAGCTGAAACCAAAATGCGAAAGAGCACAACTGAAATGAGGGAACGTTGTTATATTAACCATCAACCGACTTTGTTGTGCAAGTGTGTGGACCATTCTCGCAATTACACCACGCAGGACGCACATGCGTTATCAAACGGTGAAGAACTGCAGCCCTGTAACCGCTGTTTTGAACAGTGACGTCATTGTAGTCCTCTGCTTCTTGCACTTTTGGGTCTGTTGGTTTCGGTTTCGCCTCAGAATTCAGGAGAATTTCATTATTTCGTAGTTACCACTATAAGCCGCTTTTCTGTAATTTCAGAGCGGCAATGGGCTTTTTGCATCAAGAACTTCCATTCTCCCATTCGACTTAAATGCCAAACTCCCCTAATAAAAAAGGTAATTAATTTAACTTTCTTAATTACTTTTCCAAATGATGCCTCCAACTTTCTTAATATGTCTGCCGCTACAGAAAAAGCAACTGTGCGAACAGCAGGCAAACAGCGTCTTTTGCCGATTTTTAAACAATATTGGCCACATTTCTTGAAACACCCTGTATATTTCTTTAGAAGTGTCACCGTCAGAGATTTCACATCGATCATCAGAGTAAGATCGAATAAAGCACGGCCAGTCGATCTCATAAATTTTTTTTCAAAGTTTTATATATTGCTGCCCGACAAGTGGAAAGAAGAGATCCGCAATAGGTTTGGTCAGAACAAAATTTTTTCGAAGCACAGTAAATCAATGATAACGAAGAGGTGGAGAGCCACACTTACCTGCTCTGCTGTTTTTTCTTACTTTGGCGATAAATTACACAAAATAAATGAAAGCTATGTACTGCAAACTTGTTTAGCTAAAATAAATACATAATTGTGCTTGCATAAATACATAATTTTGCTTCTCTGAGTAATTCAGATATTTTTGTAAAAAATCTGAAAATCGACCCAGAATATGATTTCTGGTCTAGTTTACCGCCTTTTATTTCAAAAAGGGCCCATGACAAGACAGTGAAAATTCAGCATTATTTTCTCAGCATGCTTATTTGTAAAACTGCCAAAGCTTATATTAATAACACACTTCAATAAAAAGATATAATCACACTAACTTCAAGAAAACAGCATGCAAGAAAAACTCCCATCACGATTAAAAAAAACAAATTTTGATATTTTTAAACTCTCCCCACATATTTTCCTGCACATCAGCTTTCACACTCAATAAAAAATGTTGCATAATATGGTTCTACATGCACTTTCAGCTCTTCAAAAAATGCCTTTGCACAAGGATAGGCAATTTTAGATCTGCCTTCCTGCCCACTGAGTATGGAATGCAGGCCTATACTTCTGTTTCCTAAAAGGCAAGCAGCACTAAAATAGCTGTCGACTGCATTGAGAACGCCAATTTTGAAATGATTTGGTCAAGGGGGCGGCCATGACTGCTAGATCAACGAGCAAGCAAGCACACACAGTCCGGCATGTTCCAGGGCAAAGAAGGCTTGTTTTCGTGCCCTAAGATGGATAGATTGCGATACAGCCGGCGGTAACTTCCATGGGCGTAGGAGCATAGCTATTTTATTTGCCCTTTGCTCACATAGCAGCCACGCAATGTTAACATTGCAGATGTAGCAGGCATTGTTCGCACTTTTTGTGCATTCAAAGTGAACGCAAACAAAAGCACATTTACAATACAGACTTGAATATTTAAACAAAAATGTCCTGAAGTGACTGATCTAACTTGGGCACAGCATAGCTCTAATGCACTTGCTTGGCATGTAAACAGAGGCAATCGACCAAGGTCATAAATTCGCTGTCTGTAGCTCAAGTTACCCAATCGCATTCGGTGCCCACACAAGAAACACTTCGACGTGTCGACGTGGAAGTTGAAGTTTGACTGCATTCCATTGGTGGGCAGCACCATGAAAATTCTTGTCAGGAAGCTGCAGACGCTCGCTTCCCGTACGCGGTTGACAACCGCATTAGCCAAAGAAACTGCGCTGCACGAATTGATCTCAGTGAAAACCATGAAGGTGGTGCTCCAGGAGCCAAATCAAAAGGGAACAAATGTCAAACTATAGACAACCGGGTGCGCCTGCTCATCTTAGATGGCGGCAGCAGACTTCTTGTACTGGCTGTGCGCACAGCCCGCTGCTCACACTTCATTTTACTCCAATAGTGCTCGCACTTTGCTCTGCTGCTGCGCATTTCGTGGCGGCAAAATATAGCTCCTAGCAAAATTAATCTGCACACTGCCATTCGAAGCACAAAAAGCTCATTTCAAAGAAGCAAAATTTTCGCAGAGTTACCGACTCGTATATCACAGCTTGATGCCAAAGTGCCTCGATGAACCCCACATGTACACCGCGGTGGTCTATAGCAAAGGTACTCGGCTGCTGACCCGCAGGTCATGAGATCAAATCCCACCTGCGGCGGCTGCATTTTCGATGGAGGCGAAAATGCTGTAGGCCCGTGTGCTCAGATTTGGGTGCACGTTAAAAACCCCAGGTGATCAAAATTTCCTGAGCCCTCCACTACAGCGTCTCTCATAATCATAAGGTGATTTTGGGACGTTAAACCCCACATATCAATCATCAAACCCTACATGTACAACACCTATTTCTAATTATTCACTACCGTGTTTATCACTGCGAATTTGCAGTTGCAAGACATACTTACTCAATACAATATCATGCCAAATTGAAAAGCTGAACACGATCACAAATTTCATACAATTTTCAGACTCACAGGTTGTGCTCAGTCTTGTGCAAAGGCCTTTTTCGATGGCCCCCTTCACACCGAAATATGAACTGTGCGTGCCTGCTTGCTTGGTAATTTCGCACTCATAGCTGCTCCCCTGCCCAAATCATTTCAAAACTGGCGTCTTCTTTGCAGTCGACAGCTATTTCATGGTTATCTGCTATTTAAGAAACTGAAGTATAGGCCTGCATTTCCAACTTAGCGGACAGGAAGAACGATCTACAAGAGTCTATTTTCGCTCAAGGGCATTATTTGACGGGCTGTAACTGCAAGTGAAACCAGATTATGCAACATGTTTTTATTGATTGTGAAAGCTGATGTGCAGGAATATAAATGTGGAGTTCAAAAAATATCCAAAATGGTTTTTTTTTTAATCGTCGTAAGGAGTTTCCCTTGCATGCTCTTTTCTTGAAGTTAACACGATTATACTTTTTTACTGAAAAGTGTTATTAACATAAGCTTTGGCAGTTTTATAAATAACTGCATGCTGAGCAAATAATGCTGATTTTTCACCGTCCTGTCATGGGCCCTTTTGCAAACCAGACAAAAGAACGTTTTAGATCAAATTTGAGAACTTTTATTAAAAAGCTACACTATGCAGAGAATCGAGATATAATTGAACGTAAGCACAAGTGCACCTATATTTAGCTAAACAAATATGAGGTATGTAGCTTTAATATATTTTGTGTAATTCATCGCCAAAGCCTAAAAAACAACAGAGCAGGTAAGCGTGGCACTCCACCTCTTCGTGATTGATTTACAGTGCTCCGAAAAATTTTTTTGCCAGCAAAACCAATTATGGATCTCTTTTTTTCCAGTTATTAGGAAACAATATATAAAATTTTAAAAGAAATTTAAAGGGACACTAAAGCCAACTATTAAGACGACGTTGATTGTTGAAATGGCAGTCCAGAAACCTCGTAGTGTTACTTTCGTGCCAAAGAAGGGCCTATTTTGAAATAAAATCACATTTTAGTGCTCCGCATCGGGTTAGCGCACTTCAAATTACCCGCCTCAAGAAGCAGACCGACCGGACCGTCACACGTCACTGTTGCCGTGCACAACGTTGCCCGACTTTACTGTGCTAGTAGCAGCACACTGAAAGCAAGAGGAGCCACAACAGCAACAACGACCATTGATCAATTTCCCGCCATTGGCCTCGCGATTGCAGACGCCTTTGTTTCAACTGCGCCTCACTAGATAGCACCACCTGTCCCGTGTAACCAAGCGAAAATTGAATTTTAAACCAGTCGCGCCATTCCCCAAAGTAACGTCCGGTGGTTCTTTTTTTCATGAATCAAATAGAAACGAACAAGCAGCATTTTATTGCGTCTCGTGAGGCACATAAGGTTCTTTATTTAGTGCAGTTAGATTGATTACTGGTGATTAATTTTAGGCGGTCCGTCTGATGTCATCGGGATCATTTGAAATTGTCCTACTGCAGCGCTTGTGCTCTTGTGCATTTACCTTAATTTCTCGGTAAGTAGGGCACTGTCATTGATAATATTGTCGTTTTAGCATACATTGAGACTTCACTCTGATGTAAATTGTTATTTGACTTTAGTGTCCCTTTAAGAGGTCGATCAGCCATGCTTTGTTCGATCTTATGTGGAATCACCCAGCAATTTTCGCTGATCGATGGTGAGCAAAAAGTGGAAATTACCCTACATAAGAAAATCGTATTGCCACCGTACTACTCCATGCTGTCTGAAAAACTCCTAAAATACCCTACAGGTATGGTAATTACCCTACAGTTAGCAACACTGAGTGACAAGGTGAACATGGTAAATATGGTTTTAGGAAGTGACAGGCATCAAAATGTCATTTTCTCCTTGATTTTAAGAGAGTGAGAGAGGTCGAATGACTGCCCTTACAGGCCCTGCCGCACCCTATCACAATAACCCCTTGCATTCACGACTGTTGGGGGTTAACAAACTGGGTTTCACATCGGGAGTGTTAGGGTTTCGTGGTTATTGAGAAATAATTCAACTTAAAACCATTTATTTTCCATTAATCCAAACAAAATTTAGGGAAATAATTGTTCATTGCTTTTTGAACTTAATGAAGGCACCGCACACTGATCTCGACTTCCGTAGTTTGTCAGCGGCAAGAAACTCGTGCATCAGCCATGCTACAGACTCATAATTGTGTGATTTGCGGATGCAATGTTGCATGCTGAGTATGCTCACAAGTGTAGTTTGAAAGCCTCGCGGGCTCCTCTTACAGTTCGGTAATGCTACACACAGAATGTCTGCTGAAGAAGACACTTCTGCAAGACAAGTTGATGGGTAAATGTTACAGGTGTAATTATGTACTATAAGGTCACCTTTTACTTGACATCATGTCACAAAAACAAAAGATTGCATGCACTAGTACCTTTGCAATATAGTACACGAAATATTTTCAAAGTACTGGAAAGCCTTACACATGCCACAAGTACTATAGTGCCCAACTTCCACCCACCGGATATGAGCGCTCTGCTGCTGCCTTGGACAGTTTCATCTGCTGTTCAAACAGTGCCTTACGCTGGGCGACAGACAAATTTTCAGGTGTCTCACATGGCTGCTGTGCCTGCTCAGCAACCACTGCAGCTTCAAAGAGAGCCTTTCGTTGCTGAAGTGACAGCTCACTAGGATCTCGTCCTATTTGTTGAGCTTCAGCCCTTTGCGGAAAACCACCTGTATTGAGATCCCATGATGAGAATCATTCCTCATCAAATGGGAAAGGGGAAGGGGGCATTGAACAAAAGATTTGATTTGAAAGGCCTTTTCCCCATCTCTCATATATGGGTCACTGCTGAAGGCGATTTGGCATTGGAGGAGTCAAACACTATATCATCATCGATCTGCAGAATGATTAAAATATGGACCCCTTATCTGTAACAGAGTTTTTGTTCCATCACATGGGGTCCTTAAAAAAATACTTGAGGCCAGTCATGTCTGCATAGCATACCCAAACAAAGAGTTATCAATCGCAATAGGCAAGAATAATGCAAGTGCAATTTAGCGAAGTTGCAAAAACTCAGTCACAAAGTCAAACAACATATACAATTACGACAGTCATGTGCGGGCATGGACCACTTCCAGAAGAGCTGACCACGTGTTTCAGACCCCTGGTTTAGGGAGAGAACAGGAGGCCCTCTTGACAGATTGTAACTTTTTTTACATATCAGTGAACTCTCAGTATTCAGAAGTCTTGTCACACCAGAGAGAACTTTTCTGTAAGTTCATATATATCGTCAAGATTTTCAAATAACAAATTGAAGATTATGCTGCCCAATTAGGTTCTAAAATTGAACCGTAACTAGGTAAAAAAATACATTTTCAAATATTTAGTAAAAGTGCACATTGTCGGTCATGCATGGTTTAATATAGATTTGAAGCACTAATACTATAAATTTCATCCAATTTACAGAGCACATAAAAGTGGGCAATCAATCTGAATGCACAGGTAAGTTGTGTACTCAGGCAGGCCCACCGTACCAGCTTAATTCAAATGCTGGCAATAAAATGCAATGGTTAAGATGCACTCATTGGCAGTGGGTACTTGAGGACATGGGTTTTCTTCTTCTCTGCAGTAGTCTCACTTTGATGACAGTGAAATGCAAACATCTCCTCACCCCTCGCTCTGACCTTCTTTACTGTTCGAGCTCTTGCTGGCTTAAAAGTTTTTTGTCTGAGGCCCGCTAGCTGAGCAGAGTTTGAGAAGCCCTAAACAGTATTTTTACATTCTCGATTCTGAAAGATCAAGTAGTGTTCATTACATGTTGAGCAAAAGTTATTAATGAAACCTTGCGTGACCTATACAAAAAGAAAGGCAGCTCACCTTGACGAGTATTATTTAGTGGTTGCTTGTGCACAGCTGTTATATTGGGCATATTCACTTGTGCTGCTGTTTTCTTTGTGTTGATAACAGCTTTAGCCGAAGGCAATGGTGGTGGTAGTGGAGTACAGACAGTGCTGGGCACTTCATTTGTTTCAACTTCAGAAAGGCCATCAGAGTTGTCCAGTGCTTTATGGCAAGCATTTGGCTTAAATGAGTAGCTTAACTTTGAAGCTGATGGAGATTTCATGAAACCCTGGGCTTCCTGAAATGAAAAGCAAACAATACATTGCACAATCAAAACACGCAGGTAATTTCCAGCTTTATTAGAGGAACACTATGGAGTGATTGTGGGGACATAAACACTTTGTGCAGGTCAAATTAAATGCAATAATGCACAAGGGTGCAAAGCAGGCACATAACTTAAATCAAGACTATGTTCACATAATCATGATTGATATGTGGGGTTTAATGTCCCAAAACCACCATATGATTATGAGAGACGCCGTAGTGGAAGGCTCCGGAAAATTGGCCACCTGGGGTTCTTTGACGTGCGCCCAAATCTGAGCACACAGGCCTACAGCATTTTCACCTCCATCGAAAGCAGCCGAGTACCTTACTACACTACCGCGGCGGGGCCACATAATCATGATTGAATTTCACAAGGAACTGAGCGGGCATTTGCGTTTAGGAGAGAACAAGAACCTTAATGAAGTGATTACTGCTTTGGTACTGTATAAGAGAGGTACAGTACATGCCAGCCTACCTTCAAATGTTATTTAATTTTGTATTGTTATTTACACAATGCACAAACACCCATGCATTAAGATAAAAAAGACACGAGCGCTAAAAAAAAGAAAAAGAAAGAAGAAGAAACAGTTGCAAGCAAAAGACAACAGCAACAAACACCATACCAAACTAGCAATAACCTTGGGGTCCCAGTGGTTATTCTTGTGTAGACTTCTTCTGTCTAGTTCATTATTACTAGAAGGCTGCTTAGGCTTGTCTATCTTTGCAAGAGTTGACTTTGACCCACAGGTGCTAGATGGAACTATATCTGTAATGAATACAATAATTACTTTGTGAAAGATGATGCACAGCAAATAAAACAAATACATAACAAAAATGTGGTGTATATATGCAAACACAACACACATAGTCAAGCCTAAATATATATCAAACAGTTACACACATCTCCTTAGAAAGTAAAGCTACAATGCGCACAGCAACCCCGAGAATGTGCTTATTCCGTACTGCTAATGCAATCATTCCTCCCATCAAAAATATTAACCAATAAAACAGCATCATATTGACAGATATTGTCAAATACAATATGGAATCTGTAGAAAATTATATGCAATAGAAAAAAAGAAAAGCAAGGTGGATGTCTTAAAATATGAAGTGATCCTGCATGAAGCAAGATTCTTATTTGTGTGCCTTTTGGACAGATTTGCTTTAGTAAACCTCACTGCCATGTAGCAGTGTACTAATGCAATAATACTTGATACAATATTCTTGAACAAGTTGTGTCACTGGGATTAATGTTTTTGACAAATGGTCTTATCATTAAAACCTTTGTTTCTGTCTGTTCATGCAGTGCTTTCAAACGAGTGCATACCATGAGGAGCACTGAGAAAGAACCTGTGTCCTGTTAACTTGTGTTTTGTTATTAAGCTATCTTTCTGTCTGTCAGTGCAGTGCTTTTGGGTGATTGTATACACTAAGAAGAACAGAGACAGAACATGTGCCCTTTTTATCCTGTATTTACAGCATTTAAAACACTGCCTGACAGTGACAGTGTTACAGCATTTAAAAATTTCAAGGACGCTTAAGCACTTTTTATGACGTCAACCTAATGGCCAAAGAACTGATGACTGATTGCCATCGGAAGACCAGACGTTCGGGAGATCAAGCCCAGGAGATCAGACATTCCTGAATCTCGAGCTGAGAGCTGGTCATGCCGCACTCCCACTGCTCCGGGGTGGGATTATTTATTATTATCGTTATATTTTTTTTTGTAACTTCGCTTGGTTCCTACGACTTGGCACATATCCGTGTTCACATCACCAAGCAAAGAGAACATTGGGGAGTATTTTTCTACACCTTAATACCTACTGCTGTAATATCATGCTCAAATTAGTCATGTAGACCTGAGTACACGCTGTATCAAAGTATAAGACCACAACACATTCTCTAGGTCTACCTTTAGTTAACCAAAGTCGACGGTAGGCATGATGGAAAAGATCGAACAATCTGCCAATTTGTAAAAGAGAAACCGCAACATAAGTTGGTGTACAAACAAATGCATAGTCCCAACAGATACTGAAGGGAGGAACAAACACTATCCTCGCACGGTGGTTCTCATCGATACCCCACGCAAAAAGGTCGAATACTTTATTCACGGCCTGATCATTATCTCATGAGCAGTTTAGTACCTGACACACGTAAATACCTTTTGCGACAAGAAAGACATTGCACACCTGTGCACAGGCGAACATAAAGTTGTCCTCACCCGATCCATGCTTGAGAGGCCTGCTTGACAAGCGTGAGTGCCGACGAGCAGTGCAGCCCTGTGTTTTATATTGATGCAAGAGCACAAGGCGCCCGAGCGATGGTGCACTGTTTCATCTAATACCAGCAGATCTAGAGCCATTTGTTCCCCATTAACCGAAGTTTCGTTTTCTTCATATTCAGGGCCGTTCGAGACGCGGGGCAAAACTGTTTAGTCTTCTTGAACATTACTTTTGTCAACAAGAAAATACGCTATGTCGTCAGTTAAGCAGTAACAAATTTAAGCATAAACAGTTAAAATATCACCATTCGTTCAAACATGCTGACCATGCAAATACTATACGTAGCAGGAGAACTGCTCCTATGGGAATTAGTAGGGTGGCTTTTACTGCACGAGATATGACACCAAGCGACTAACCCTCGACCTTGGTAACATGTTTTACGTACTTTTGCAGTTCTTAATGCATTTCATGACACTATATTTATGGTTCATGCTTAACTTAATAAGCTATCAAGATGCATTCCCTGGAATTGAAAGAATAACGGCCCCGCCATTCCCAGAGTGGGAATGGGCCAATTTTTGAATTAAAAGGAATCGAATTGTGAAAAATCCTGATTGCCCAGATGGAATTGCAATAAAATGGAGGCACCAATTTCACAACGTTGGATCATACAGATGCTACATGCAACCTGATTTGTGAACCCAATTAGAAAACTCAACCATTGGCATCATTGTCACAAACCAAACATCACTGCCTAGGCCAAAAATTGCTCCTGCAGTACGAAAAAGTGGTTTCTTTGTTGAAATAAAGTTATACTGTGTGCACTAGACTCTTAGTAAATGGAAATCTATTAAACAGGATTGCTGTTTAAATGGAACAAGTAATTTTGACAAGATTGGTTTTGTACTTGTATTCTGCGCGCCTGGACATCTATCAGAAAATGGAACTCCTTTAAAAAGAGCATACTTTTCTGGTCTTTTTAGGGTCCGTTTAATGAGTCTACTGTATAAACGGTATTCTTGTGTTACGATATCGGTGGAGGAGGAATAAATGAGGAAGGACAGGGAGGTTAGCCAATATCGGTGGAATTCACAGCACAGTCAGTACCAGAAGAAGCAATGAAAATGACACCCTTAATTTGTGCTACAGTACCCCTCTGATAACAAGTTCTAAAGTTTGTTACCTGCTTCAACTAGCACCTCTTGCCTTCTCCGAAGAGCTGCAAGGCCCCTAGGTGCTCTCTTGCATTCGTCATCAAGGTCCATTGTTTGACTGAGGGCCTGGAAACTTTCCTTAGAGCCACAATTGGGTGATATATTATGCTTCCGTCTTAGAGCTGCCAGTCCTCTAGGTGCTTCGTTGTCATCCTTAACGAGTGCATATCTTGGTATTGCCACCCATTCAGCATCTTCTATACTCTTTGCTGCTGACGAAACAGAAGATTACAGTTAATTATCACACAATGTAAAAAATACTGATACCATTATTGATAAGCTAAATTTTGGTGTGGTGTCATGCGGCCAAAGAGCACCATAGAAGTTGCGATGAATTGTCAATGAAAAACTAAAAACAAATGTAAAGAGGCATAACAGTTGCTGTAAGTTTAGTAAAAAATAGATATCCATTAGAAGTATGACTACGTAAATATGTGCATTGAACAATATGCAATACTGTGATGATATATCTAAACAGGTTCAATGATGGTCATGCGTGAGTAGTCCCAATCCACATGCCTTGTTAGGCACAACTAGTGTATCAGTAGTCTCTGAGGTTGTGCTACACAGCTTATAATTATTATATAATTTTATAAAATCACTAAAGAGATTTTATGACAGACATAGAAGAGCCTGCATGAAGAAGCAATGTATGATGAAGTACAATACACTGTCAATATGCTGGACAAAAGGGTGTTTTATTTTTGCTTTAGCTTGCTTCCTAACACACTCCAGGACATGGTCACCTCTCACTACATTTGACACAAATGGGAGGTTCTTGCCCAGTCAACAACTATGACGGTCAAAACATTCTGACAAAATATACGCATTGTGGGCATTAATTTCATGTGAGGCAGTTAGCAAGTAGCTCCTTATGTCACACTATTTGGCTTTCAGCCCACTATTATGAGATGAATTGGTGTCCTTTTGTGCAATTCGAGTAGTGTGCATATCATGAGGTTACCAGGCATGTCAGCGACACTGGCATGGAAAGGGTAGTTCGCTATGTGACCTCATTCGCACTCGTTTTACAGCACAGATGTTGCTTTCATTGAAATGAAGCGTTAGCAGTGGTTGTTGTATTCCTTCTGGGACGAGCAACAAGAGGCCATAGGTTGTTGTGTCGAAGAAGTAAATGTGTTCAGCTTATTACATTGCGATGACGTAGATAGCCAACACTGAAACCAAAGTTTATGTTACACAAGCACCAGCACGACCACCACTGAATTTCATTGATAGGCAACCAACCGTTAACACAATATATTTCTTCATGATCTGTACCTCACGGCTAAGGGTGGTTGCAGCACTTCTTTCATCATTTGTCTGCTACATTGAAATTGCCAACTATAACAAACAATGTGTCTTTCTCTTTAACCCACACATGGATGAAGCTACCAATGTCTATTTTCTCTGCTACTGTGTTTATATAGACTGCGATTCACATGTTGCTCATACCCGCATATTATAGGCAGCGATATAGGTGTGTGCGTCCCACAGGACTCGTGGAAAAAGTTTCATGACACAAAGTAAATTGGCACAGTGCTTATTGTAGTTGTCAATTAAGCCGCACCCTGTGATCTGTTAGCACCTTGGTTAAATCAGGTGACAGAGCAACTGCCCCAGAAAGAGCTGGTCCCACATTCAACCACTGGACAGGTAGAAAATCTCAGCAGGTTCCCATTGTAGCTTAAGACATCCACAGGTGGGCAAGAATTTGTGAAACCTTCTCGTGTTGCCAACTACCACAGAGCAGATTTTGCCATTGCTTACCCAGTTTTGATGCAGAGTCCTTCGAACATTGTAATATCCCAGCTCTTTTCGACTGTGCATCTGCATTCTCCTTGTCATCACCAAGACACTGTCGCTTTGGAGGTGAAACCTTCTTTTCAGTATCACCATCTGGAAAATCATTTATGTGCTGCAATACTAATGTAAAACCAGAGAGTGAACCACATTGCGAGCTCAGTTTTTTCATTATTCAAGCTCGCTAAAGCAGCAAGGATAAATGTACTCACTGAATGTGCAATGATCAAATTGATCTCATTTATAAAGTGCACTTTGTAAAGTCAACACACTTACAGCACCAGCAACCTCTCCTGAACACCAAGGCACAGTACTTTGCAAAAGAGCAAAACTCTAGAAAAAGGATTAATCAAGATAGTGAATGTCAAGGGGTGCTACTTTCACAGAATACTTTAATCAGTTTTTCATATAGTTCAGAGATTACACAGCAGACTCCCAGTAAGACAAATGCAGTGAAGATGTAGTTGGGTTAGTTTCTCCAGTACTCAGTGCCAAAAAAAAAAAGGGGGGGGGGGGGGCGTGATGGAGGCACTTGCTACAAACCAATGCAGCTTATCCAAACTTTTTCCATTAAGAGGCACAAATCAGCAGACTTGAACGACGCTACCAGAAGAGCTATATTCCAGGTCCTCAATGTGCATATCTAGGCAAGGATATCGATCTAGGGCTACAACTAAGCTCAGACATGATGTGTTGATATGGGCCTACATGTACTCTAATACATTTCAAACAGAAGCTTTATTTAAGAACCTCCTCAAACTTTCCTAACTGTGTCTTATTGCCATCTTGCTCAATAGCACACATACAGGAAAGCAACTATGTAATGAACAGGCTTATATGTAGCCATTCCTGAGGTAGATCTACAGGTGTGTTGCTTGTCGATTCTTTTCAAATGAAATTACACAGCACCTAAGTATTCTCAAAGCAACAAGTGCCTTCTCTTAAGTGCATAATTCTTTTATTAAAGCAGAGCTTTTTATGCCCATTTTCGGATTTGCAGTTTGTCTACTCAGTCACCTTGTTGCCAAGCAAGCTGGATCAGTTGTGGAGTTCGCATAATACTGTACTCTAGACTACTTTACTCAAATGGGAAGCGAGTGGCCTGACATTGGACGCGCAATAATCCAGTTACTCGGATTATTCAGGGGTTCTAGGCTCTAGCTAATTCACTGAGCATCCACCTTATGCTACAAGACATTTCACCAAAGATGCCAAAATGTGTATTGAAATCCATGTAAAGAATTTTTTTATTCCAACAACAAAGAGGCACTGAGGAATTTTTTAGAGTGAACTGGGTGAATTATCAAATCATGTGACACTACAGGAAAGCAACAAGGGTGCATAAAGCAATACTCTCTATCATGCCAATTCAATGAATGTTTTATGCCTGCGTCTTTAGTTTAATACAGCTTCATTTATTGCTTTTAATGACAATTTTTAAAGATACCAGGAATAGCAAATATTGACTATGCAGATCAGTTCAGGCAAAAAAAAGTAAATTTTTTCCAACTATGGTTAATGAGACCACTGTGTGTGTATATCCAATGAGAAATACTTGTTGGGAAAGACGGTATCTGTTCATATACCTGCTTTAGACACTAAAAACACACAGACAACAAAAAATGACGAAAGAACAGAGCACCACTCATAACTCTATAGATCAGCTAGAATAAACTATGAAGTAGATTCAAGGTGGTATAAAATTTCAGTGAGAAAATTTTAAACCATCCAATAATTATACAGTTTCAATTTTAGTTCAGTCAAACCTGAACATTTTTTTAGTTTCTTTTTCATCTTAAAATAAAATTTCTTTATGAGAAAAATTCTACATAAAAAAAAAATGTTCTGATGACATACATTTTATGGCATGCTTGTTAAATGAAAGCGCATAGGTCCAAAACAATACGTGTTACAGCAACCATTCATTTGTACGTCTGTATGGTATATTTACTAAATGATATTCTTTAGATGTGTTTGTACATTATATACTCTGGAAAAACACACAATAGCCACTTAATTCAGAAACAGCAACACCAATTTTATCACTACAATTCATTTTCACCAACATATCATGATGGCGTTCTGGTAGGGGATCAGTCCCTTTAACTTTATTATGTACACAACACAAAGTGCCACAAAAAAGTGAAGGGGTTCTCACAGGTAAACAAAGAATGAATGCAATGTCCACATGTGACAGTCATTTAAAATGCAATGTTTTTCCCTTGTCACTGTGGTGGTTGAATTGAGACTTGTCTTTATCAATAAAAAAATTAACTTATTCGCCCAAACCTACATCACTGATATGTTATTTCTACTTTTCAAATTAGCGTACTAATTTTTCACATTCCAAAGACTCATCTAACATTGTAATGGTTGTATCATCAGTGTTCTTGCAAAAGTGGCCTACTTTTATTCAAAGAAAGCTGAATTTTTTAAAGTGCTTCACTAAAATAAGGGGTTATTAGAATTTTTCAGGGATGGCGTTTTTTGTAGAATGCATGGCAAGAGCAGTGCACTAACCAGAATATAAAGATTTGCGGCAGGTCACCAGAGGAGAAGCAACGCAAAAACTCCTTGAACTTATCTCGCAGAGTAAGAAATAGGGAGTTTTCAAATTTGCGTGTGCTCGCTTTAGGTCAAGCAGGAGCTAAAAGTTTTTCAAGAGGGTCTGTGGCACTTTGGACAGTTCCCTTTTCTAGATCACCCTAGTCTTGGTCAAAAGCCATCACTTCATTGGCTGCCGTCATGTTTATTTGATGCAAAGCTTTTGGGGCAGGCTTTGGGGCTTCCACTAAATTTGAGAAATAGTGTCCCCAACGCAAAACCCAAAAGCTGTTTGAGTCTCACACATGCACAGTGGCCTCGACTCTGTTTCTTTAGAGCTCTAAAATGATTGTGGTTCTTATTCAAAAACTCCTTAATATCTGCTCGGCAGCAACTTATCTTGACATTGGAGTGAAGGCTACAGAAGTGGGGCCTCCGCACATTTGTCTTGCTCCACAAGTAGTACAGCAGCTTGCCGCTGATTTCGGCTTTGCTCGCTCACATCGTTAAAGTATTTAAAATTATATACATGAAAATGCTAATGGGAGAAATGTTCCAATGATTCATGGTACATTTTAGTCTCATGTTACGAGTATATTTTTATTGGATAACTAAACAACACGTTTGCGGCCACACACTGACTCACTATATCATGGACATTTAGGTTTATTTCGGAAAATGGGAATGCTTGAAAGGTGGTGGGTGCTGTCCAAGAAATGGAAAAAAAAAGGAAGGTATTATTGCAATGTGAGCAATAACAGTATTTGACCTACAACTTCCTACAACTATTTGAGTCTCATATTAAACAAAGCAGCAATTATTTCAGCAAAGCTCATGAGAAATTTATCAGTAAATTTAAGTACTTTTTTTGGCATGGTAGTAGGCATGTGCCTTGATTCTGTAGCTTCCCCAGTGCTGTCAAGAAAAGTTGTTGCCGAATACAGGAGGTGAAACTTCCATTAATACCATCGTCCACAGACATGCAGTAAAATAAAAAAAGATGTGCCGACAGGGATACTTTGATTGGCAGCACCATGAAATGCAGAGCCACAACCATGGTGCTGAAAAAAAAAAAAGTTACTAGCCGTGAGAGCCAGCTTTAGGCTAACATATCCCAGTGCTCTTTTCAACAGTGTCTGCAGAAAACAACGGCATCGATTTTAGCATACATGTTATTTCAATCGTTTTCTCTTACTCATTTTTTATGTTGTGGTAATTTCTGCGAGCTCACGCAAAGAATCTGTGGCAACGAATCAAAAAACAAACGTGTCCGAATGCGCTTCGCGTTCAAGCTCTGTGTGACTGCAGAGAACCGGGAGCATCGCGGGTGTCCGATTCCCTCGGGAACAGAAACAGCATCAAACTGTTTTCCTGCTGCCAGCGTGATATGACTCGCCAGAGCAGTGACATTGTCTGGCCCCTCAAATAGTGGAGTTGCACTCTCTAAATGTTTTTTGCTCCGCGACTTATCCCCATGCCAATCCACCTCACTGCTTTTACATGTCCAAGTACTCATACTGTAGTCTCTAAGTACTATGTTAAACCTGGCACTTCCAAGAAAAGAAACTTCATTGGCACAATTCTTGAGCAAAATCTGTCCGTACACTTCTCTCCCACCTCACTTATGGCTCCTTTCAGTTCAATGAATTAAAACAAAACAATCTTGCATATATTTCTTTAGGAAGCTGTCAATAGAGAAATTGTAGTATGAAGCCTCCATTCATCATGTACAAAACAATTATCTTTTTGTGTGTGTTCCTGGTTTTAAAATGTATCAAGTGCAATCTGCATTGTGCAACGTAGTATTGCACACATATCACAGATAATGAACTTGTTTACTATCACAACAAACAAGTGCTTAGCAGGCATCCAATGTGCCACGAACAAAATAAAATGGCCAGACACAATGTCATGGTACAACTGATGCCCGAGTAGTGCACACTCCTTATTTATTCATGTAAGCTGGAGCCACAGGAGAGCGATGCTCTCAAGCTGTTCGCTTTTGGAAGCAGTTGTAGGTATGAATATGAATACAGTGGTTAAACAGGATGAGTGCAGCCCAGACAAAGTCTGAGATAACAAGCATAAAGAACATGGCAGGCATTCAGTGAGTTTTAGATGTATGGTCAGACACACCTTGATTTCACCGATCGCCGACTAATGTCCTCTCCTTATTTAATGCTGACGGAACTAAAATCTCCAAAATGCAAGCATCAAAAAAAAAAAAAAAAACACCTTTGTCTTCATCTGAACAAGCACTGTATCTGTGGCATATGCCATTTTTTACAGAATTAGCAAGCAGTGTTAATTCTTAACCACAGTGGCACTTGGTGTCACAGTGGTGTTACAGTGACAAAAACGAATCCGCAGACAATAACTAAAACAGAAAACAAAGCTAACCTGTCAGTTTAACAACTCTTGTGCTAAATTACACACACGGAATCATCCAATTTCTGCAAGTGAATATTATTTAGTGCCAATAAAAACTGCAAACTACTTGTTTTCCTTCTGTTTGTAGGCAATCCTACTATTATGCAACTAAAATTCACGTACCTTTCAAGGTCATTGTGACACACCCTGTGGACATTGTACATGAAGAGACACATTCACCAACTGAATTATGTCGAACATTCTGACGATTAACAACTGTTGCTATCCTTAACCCCATTAATATATGCGCTCCATCCTACAATGCAAGCGCTCAAATGCCACATTTGAATCCCGAAAAGCGTCTCGATTGGCCATTTTAACCGTTAGACATTCATCAGCACCTACGTTAGTGTGAAACTCAACCACAGCATCGCATTTCTTGACGAAAATATATAACATAAGCAAGATAATATTCGCGGTACGGCACAGATGGCACACTGTCCAACCTTACCACAACGATCATTCAAATCGTCGGCAGTTAGACTGCGCTTTGGAGGAGTTGGTTCGGCCGTTTTGAGATGCAAGTTCTTGCTCCTGGCCTTGGTGCGTTCCGCGAGTTTCTGCATGAATAAAAAAAAACAGCGCACTAGGTCATATACGGCAAGGTAGATGACTTATGAACAGCACCCTACAGAAAGCAAGCGGGTGTGGTCAAAAGTGTTGCTCACTCACCCTGGCATATTCTTCAATATTATCCATTTCGTCAACGCTCGCGCAACACAGCAACACCAGCACGCGATGGTAATCTGATAGGCCAATTTATTATAAAGGGGACAATATTTTCTAAAATCTATAACACAGGAACGGAGACTTGAATGAATTCCACACGTAAGACACAACCTCGCAATCGCTACAACCGCCGCCAAAGTTCAAACCTCCGTGAAACAGAGCACTCCCAATGTTGCTGGTGCAGTGGCACTTCAACAGTCTCTGATTTCTAATCATAATTACTGGTGATGCTGATGGTTTGTGGGGGCGTTAATGTATGCCTCAAAATGCCAGCGCAAAAATGATAATGTTTAAGAGTTCGAAACATGGACTGTTTTGTGGGAGAGCTGAAGAAACATTGCATAAAGACGCGGTCCAAATTTTTATGAATCAAGTCGATAAAAGATGCGGCCGAAGTCACTTGGTTTTATTAATGGCGCCGGTCATGTGCAGTTTTCATTGCGGTTTCTTTTACAAAATGAGCGTTCCCTCTCTTTGGTTTCTTTTTAGAGTTATTCAAAGTTATTAGTGTTGCAGGAGGGCTCTTTGCTGTAAAATAAAATAAGTCATTTTGCACTGCTTCGCACGAATTTACAATTAGCGATAACTATTTTGACTAAAGGCGATGATACTAAGATTGATATTGTCGACTTGTTCATCGCGAGAACGTGTTTTGGTCAGATTATGTAGCACGGCGCTTCCAATGCGAGATATCAAACCTAAATCTCGGCATTCACGAGTAAGTAAGTGATGTGATCCGTGCGGCATTGCTGCTTTGTGACAATTATGGTTGCAATGTGCACAGGCTGAGAACCAGCTCAAAGGGTGCTTGCTCTCAGCTCGTGCTGAAGTCGAATTGCTACAGAACGAACGTAATCGGTGTTAAATTCGGCGCACTTAATGTCTAACAGCTTAAAATTAATTGGCTACATATTTACTGCTCGAGCAAAAAGTGAGGCAGGTCTCCTGATGTGTTGTTTCACGATTGATAATCGCTTGCCATAACCTAAAGCTCTCATGCGATGATAAGTTGGAAAAAGCCTTGACTGTAATACTATTTTGATATGTAAAAGCCATTGCTTGGAGCATCATGTAGGCTCGATATTGTTATCCAAGTCTACTAGACGTGATCTGTTATGTCACTAACTCTTATCATGTCCTATGTTCTGCCAGCCATCATATTTCGTAGACTGGAAACGAGTCAAAGTCATCGGTGGACCAGGTGGCGATGGTTGCATCTCATTTATGAGGCTCTTTTGTAACCCAAATGCTGGCCCTGATGGAGGAGATGGTGGAAATGGGGGTCATGTTATCTTCGAAGGCAAGAGGCATTTACCTTTTTAGGCAGTGAGTGGTTTTTCAACTGACATGGCTTTTTATGCTTCTGTGTAACCTTTTTTTTGCGCAGCAACCAGTAATGTCAAGTCCCTGGAGCATGTACGCACAACAATATTTGGCAATGCTGGCCTGCGAGGATTTGGCAAAGACATGCATGGACGATCTGGGGAGCACACCATTATTCCTGCAAGTACTCCTTTATTTTTTTTCTATGCACAAAGTGGGGAATTTGGGCCTTATAGCTGTCTGCTTTGTTAATTTACACTAGTCACACATATGTGGCCCATTCCAATTTTATAAGGTTTCTCCACCAAATATTGCACTTTAACTCTAGAATATAAGCAGTGTTACCTCGTAAAATAGGCAATGCTCAAAGTGGTGTTCCAATGTTGCCCTAGAAAAAAAAAATGTTGCTACATAATACACCGCTTTTATTGTTCATTGTGCCGGTTCTGTGCCAGGTCTGACCTCCTGCGTACTTGGCCATGAATTGCAGTGGATTTTTCAAAGCAGTAAGAGAAGTCCTTAATATGTGTCAACCTTTAATAAGCACATGTAGTTTAATTTAATCAGAGTTGAGTAAAATTTCTGGAAATTTAGACAAACTGTGCAAACCTAGGTCAGCATCTCCCACTCTTTCTCTCGTTTGTTGAATGTTTGGCAATATTGTGCCATTTACCTTTCATTTTCTTGCTTTGATGAAGCTTTTCAATGCAGTCTGTTGTACATGTACCTTAGTGACTGCTAAGTTGCATGGCATGCTGTTTTTACCATTGACAGCAATCATATTGAATGTCACATCACATAAAAAAGCACGTACTTGGTGTGTATTTTTTATTTATTCTGTGTATGATGAATAAGTGCTTTAAAGGAGCCCTGCAACTCTTTTCTAAGGAGCCATGGAATGAATTCAATAAAGAAGCTTATTGCCTCACGAATCGACCACCGTAAAAAGTTTTAGAATTTGTCCAGTATGAGCGGAGTTACAAAAATTCGCAAAGATTTGTTTCACACTGCAATTGCTTTCTCTCTTCTCTCATCCCGACAAAAGTGCTGGAAGCTAAGCAGGGAGGGATGAAATGGGGAAAGAAGGTATGTCTTACGTGCCACTTGACCTTGAGCACTTTTCCTCTTTTACTCTTCTTTGTGTCTTTTTTTTTTAAACCTGCACCTTTTCCCTGTGATCATGCGTGCACACGCGAACAGGTTTTGGCCTTTCATGGTGACCTCCGGTAACTGCGGAGCGCGCCATGCTCAAATCAGCCAATGGCAATACTTGGGCTTGCGACACACTGATTTTTTAGTATATAGCATCATTTGTTGTGAAAAGAGAAAGTGATTTTTAGCTGACTGAGAATTCATTGTAAATTCCAGGCCTCATGCAGCGCTATATTATTTGGCTAGTATGTTCTCGGGAGCCTCGGCTACCAATTGGCAACGTTTTCTGACCATGCTCAAATTGTGTTGCAGGGCCCCTTTAAACATGATTGCACTGAACCAATATTGCTAGAGCACAGCTTTGTTTGCATTTGTTTGCTTTATTTGAGACATGTAGCAGTATACATTTCAATACAAGGAAGCACAAGAGGTAAAATAAGCCCGTGGAATCACTATCTGTCCATGTTTATTTTGAAAGAAAAAAAAAAGTGGTTAAATGACGAAGACAGAGAAGGAACAACTCACAGTGTGCTGAGTTGATACATTGTGTGTTTTTCCTTCTCTGTCCTCGTCATTTTAAGCGTTGTTTTTTTCCTTTCGTTATGCAACACCAACTGGCCCAATGTCGTTCACTGCTGCTGTGTCTATAAGAAGCAGCACTTTTATTACATAATTCTTTTGTCTCAATTTGTGCTTCTAAGTCATACTAGTATGGCCACTAACTAGCTGACCTCATCATTTTAATTGTTGTTTTTGATGTATAGCACCGTCCACTGTTAAAGGGAACACTCTGATTGCGAACATCATAACTGGAGACAGATATATAAACATTGTTTGTGCATGGCATTAGTCTATGAAAAGGAGTCAGAACAGACAACCAGCAATAGTGTTATGCAAATCTAAGCCACTATGCTTTTGCAGAAAGGAAAATCCGGACATGGTGCACATGACAGTGTTCCCTTTAACTGTGAACATGTCTGTACAGTTAAAACTCGACTTAAGCCCAATTTTTCCAAGGAAATTCAAGGAAGAAAATCATTTTTGAAGTTTCCCATCGAAGACAGTAGGAAAACTTAACAAGGAAGTTACTGTATCAAACTAGGAAGATAGCCGCCAATGGCGAAATTCAAAAATTATTTTGTTCATAAAACGTGAACTGTAGTGATAAAACTAGACATTTAAAAAGAACTGGACATCTGCTTTCGATTGAGGTGTAAAACTGATTTTTAGTTGGAGCACCACGCGGTCTAAATTGCATCTCATTGTGGACCAAAATGATGATTTTCTCAAATTAGTAATTTTTTAAATAAATTTTATGACCTCCAGTAGTCCAAGGTTGTTTTTAGCACAAAATATAACTTTCATAGAGTAAGCATTCATTACTCAGATATTCATAGCAGGAAAAAAATGCCAAAAATGCCAATATAGAACATTTTAGCGAAATTTATGGAGGAATATATAGAACAATTGCAGTAATATTATTGAGCTTTTAACACCTTAAAAAATGCCTTTGCTTAATACGTAAATCAAAGTTAATTTTGACATGAAAAACAATACTCTCAGAATAAATTTTCTGACATTTAAAAAAAAACTGTCTTGGAAATTCTGAAAGCCCCCACGTGAGCAGAAAATTTCTCTGTGGAATATTCTAGCAATTTATTGTTTTGAATGCAATAGAGCAGCAGGAATTTTTTAAAATACATATGAAACGGTCGCCGAAATGGCTGGAACGTTTTACGTGGAATGATCCATGCTTTCTTAATGTGTGCCTAATCTGTGCGAACTCTCTCCATGGTAACCTGTGTGATGACTGTGTGTGTATTGGATGCTGCCCTTAAAGATATTTTTTGTGTGCCAGAGATTGAACGTATGCATAGTACTTGTTTTTTTTATTTTTTATTCTTTCCTTTTTGTTTATTTTTGTGTTGTTGTTTTCAATACTAATATCAACTATCATGCTGATGGGATAGCCAGCTGTTCCAAAGCCGACCTTTTCATGTTTGTGTGTGTGTGCAAAAACATTGAGAAAGTAAAATGTTGTCGTTAGGTGTGTCCTCTACTTTGTATTATTATTGTATTATTATGTGTGTGTGTGTGTGTACACACACACACACACGCACGCACGCACGCACGCGCACACACACCACACCACACACACACACACACACACACACACACACACACACACACACACACACACACACACACACACACACACACACACACACACACACACACACACCACACACACACACACACACACACACACACACACACACACACACACACACACACACACACACACACACCACACACACACACACACACACACACACACACACACACACACACACCACACACACACACACACACACACACACACACACACACACACACACACACACACACACACACACACACACACACACACACCACACACACACACACACACACACACACACACACACACACACACACACACACACACACACACACACACACACACACACACACACACACACACACACACACACACACACACACACACACACACACACACACACACACACACACACACACACACACACACCACACACACACACACACACACACACACACATATATATATATATAGCTACGTAGTTTATTTATGTCACAATAATATACACGATTTGCTACATGTATGTGATCATGCTTCAGGAGCATGGCTTTCTGGAGTAAAGGTGTTGTTCTTCTAAAGCTCATCATTGTACAAATCACCACAAAGCATGAAAGGCAAAGTGCAGGAGTCAAAAAGAGGCTCGAGTGATGGCCTGCTTGGGGATAAGGGAGTTGATGCACTGTTGTGTACCTGCCATTCTTTTTTTTTATGTTACGCTTCACTTGTTCTTCATCGTTTGTATAGAGCCATGATATTATTTTAGCATTTAAGATAATGCATACCTAACGCTCTCAGTGTAGTGAGCTTTGTATGCCTTATCATACAGTAAGCTTATCATACAGGATAGCCGTCGTGGTAGCTCAGTTGGTAGAGCATCGGATGCATTATTTGAAGGTCGCAGGTTTCCTATGGCAAGTTATCTTTTCGTCCACTTTCTTTTAAAGATTTACATTACAATTACCTCATATAACATCCTGTTTTTTCTTTGACATGATTGTCTGTTAGATCTCATTAATACTGTGTCTAACAAAGAAAATGAGCCCTTAAGTGTACACTTCTTTCCTTGAAGCCATATAAAGTCACTTGGATTGAATTCCTTAGGCTACAAATTTCAACAACGGAAAAATTTAAGTCATGATGGAGGCTTGAAGTGATCAGAAGTCGATTAGTGAAGGGATTTTACTGGAGCCAATGTTACAACAAGGTACTCGTTTCTGTCAAGGTTTCTCAGGCGAGTGCTGTGACTCGTAAAGCATGTAAGGCAGCATTAGCAGTTGCATCTAAAGTTGTATCTAATCATATTAAGTTATACAAATGCTTATATTTACTTTCGCATTGCTGATGACATGTACACATTTCAAGTTAAAATGTGTGCCTTCAAGACAGTTTATGTATATAATGCATGCCACACCAGGCAGACACAAAAAGAAAAGAGAAAAAAAGGCAGAAATAATCTGAACTGATTTTCAATCCTAGCAGAACGTAAATAGCCAAAATATGTCATGCATAAGACTTGTACAGCAGTTAAACTCCTCATTGTGCTATATTGAGGCATGGCATTTCCACAAGAACATATACAGTGTGGCAAACACCCAATAATTTAAGTTCATTCTAGAGCTGTATATACCCAGTTGCACATGGTGAAGTTGACATCAAACAAGTTTATTGAAAAGTGGCATGTGCCCATGTCTTGACCCATATTTTCGCTTAGATGCAAGAAAAGTAGTCTTACAATGCTAAGAATGCTATCTGCATTTAAAAATGTAACAGGTCAGCCACTTGAAATATAATCTGAGAGCAGCTTTTCTCATGTCAAGTACACTGGGGAGAGAATTCGCGTTCATTCTTTAATGTGTATAAAATGGAAATTCTTATGTAGCTTGCTTTGTAAGCATATTGTTCCTTTTCCTATTTGCATTTATATGTTTTCTGTGCTCAAGTGGGTGAAACCAATAATGGTACATGCGAAGATCCAGGCTGACAACTCTCAACTTTGCATTTGTACTTGTCAAATATTATTTAACCACAAAGTATGTTTTTTAAGATGTATTTGTAACAGTCATACCAAGTCATCATTAATGTACGTGCATATTTTTGAAGTGGTTCATCACATGGTGCCACGTAAACAGACCTAAGTATTGGCACAATACAATCACCGAGTGGATATAATGTGAAAAATGATTTCACCGGTATTAGTAAATTACTCTTCTACTATGTCAAAAAATTCTGCTGCAACAGTGAAAAAGTGCTTGTTAAGATGTAAAAAGCATGTAAAAAGCACAAAAAGAAAACTTGTGTGGTGACATTAAAGTTCTTGTAGTAGCTTAGCATGACGTCATAGATTTTGATGACATCTGCTAAACCACGTAGCTCTTTACCTGTAGTAATGAATTATATTGTGCTCTAAGGGAACTAAGGACTTAGCATTTCAAATTTAGGGATGTTCAACTGAGACAGTGCGGCCAAATGCAGAAAAGTACTTCGAAGATCATGTGGCCACCTTGATCTGCCAGTATACATCTCTTGGCATGAAATATAAATAAATAAAAAAAACTTTGAATAATGTTTTTGTAATAATTAACTTATATTTGTAAAAATACATTAAACTTAAAAAAAAATGGTTTATCAGTCTAGACCTAATTAAGTTTTTCACTTTAGATTTCCCTGTAATGCAAGAGGAATAAAGAAAAGTTGACCTGAGACACATGTTTTCTGAGAATCCACTTGCTGTTGGGGCAGGCTGATATTGAAAGCAATTAAGTTGTCTTTGTATATTTTTCCATGCAGACAAGCAAATAATCACAGGAAAGTAATTCTATGCTTAAACTTTAATTCACCAAACAGGGTAACATTTATCTTGTGTGTATTCATGCAGGTACCATTAGGCACTGTGGTGTGCAATGAGGAAGAGAGCCCTTTAGCTGACCTGAACACAGAAGGAAGCCGGTATCTAGCAGCCCGTGGTGGTGCAGGTGGCAGAGGAAACCACCATTTTTTGACAAATGCAAATCGTCACCCACGCGTCTGTCAGCTAGGTGCCCAGGGAGAGGCCATTATCTACCATCTTGAAATAAAGGCCATGGCTCAGGCCGGTCTGGTGAGTATCGAGCAGTGTTCTGAAGCATGAGGCACTTTTATGGAACAAGAGAATACATCTATAGCAACTTGCTGTGTAAACTCCTGTGATCATGACAGTGATGCGCTGCAATCAGTCGTCCTGAATTAAAAATTATAGTAATAGACAAAAGAGTGGAGACTTTAACTGAGAGTTTTGTGAAGCAAAAATGCCTATTTAAAGGCGCCTCCAATGCTTCAATATGTTTGTGCTGACTGCATCAACACGTAGTGGTACTCACCAGAACTATTGCGAGCGAAAATAATGACAGATGGTGCAGGCCCGTGATTCGATAAATGTAATGTTAAATGTAATCACAGCATTGCATCTAAGTAGGGGTCAATTTTGGGTTTATTTTATCTTTAGCATGATTTTTCACTGAATGCAGAAAAGGATGATGCTCTCCGACTTTTTCAGCTTGAAAATTGCAAAGCAGGTCAAACAATGTGCCGAACGCCACGGCGCTGGAGGAAACATGCAAGGGACGTCCCAGGCATCGTTGTTTAGAGAAAGTGAAGGGAAAAGAATGTAAGAACGTTGATATATAGATGCTATTGTAACAAGAAAGATCAGTAAAACCACAATAAATTAGAGAAACGTTCACAAGCTGCCTCAATTCACACATGTGGTTTACTCTTCAAGCACCACATTATTTGTTACCATCGTAACAGCATTCTCAGTACATACAAGCTTCCTGTTCAAACAGGCATACATGCTTCCTGTCTGTAAGAGCTTTCAGTTCATTTCACTGGGGAGCCATCCTACATCACAGGGCAAGGAAAACATGGTTGGGTGACCCTGCGAAAATCGAGTTGAGGGCAGGCGTCTATTTTATTGTACTATTTTCAATTTTCTAGGCTGAATAACTTTGAGCTGCGGGCCCCTATCGCTGCCGTTCTTGTTGCAATAATCTCTTAAGCCTTCACTTTACACAACCCACTGGTAAAATATGTAAAACGATAAGGTCTTGGAAAAGTGTTGGAGGACCCCTTCAAAATGGCGTGGTCACATGATTCTGCAGAATTTCAAGAGGCAACTTAACAGATGATAAAAGAAAGGTAGGTTGTCACAAAACAAACTAACCTAAAGATTTCAATGTGAAGTGTATTGGGTGCACAAGATGTTTGAAAATACATTTTCAAATTGCATCAAAAGCTGACATTTCTGATGCATGAGGTTAAGCTCTTCACCTTAATTAACCCTGTTACCTGTCTAGCAGCATTTTTTTTTTCTTCTTCAAGGTAGGAGCTTCCACTCTGACGTGGAAAGTATAAAAACGTATGCGGTATCGCATGCCACTCCACATACCTGCATCAGGGCCATAGCCAAAATTTTATCTAGGAGGGGAAGGTTTGTGTTTGTGAGAGTGTTTGCATGTGTATACAGGGTGTTTTAAAAACAGGTGTTTTAAAAGAAATGTGTCCGATATTGTTTGAAAATCAGCAAAAGACGCTATTTGCTCACTGTCTTCACAGTTGCTTTTCCTGTAGCAGCAGGTATCTTAATAGTGTTGAAGACATCATTTGGAACAGAATTTAGTAGAACTTCATTATTTCGTACTTATTGCTAAAGCCCGCTTTCCCGAAATTTCAAAGTGGCAATGGGTTCTTTGCATCAAAGACTTCAATACTCTCATTTAGCTTAACTGCCTAACTCCACTAATTAAAATGTTAATTAATTTAATTTGTCTAAATACTGTTCCAAATGTCTTAAACCCCATTAAGATGCCTGCCGCTACAGAAAAAGTAACTGTGAAGACAGCGAGCAAATAATGTCTTTTGATGATTTTTAAACAATATTGGACACATTTCTTGAAACACCCTATATATGCACATGCTAAAAATTTCAGAGGGGTTGGGATTGTAACCCCCCTCTTTTTTTCTTCTGGCTTTACTTATGGCTGGCAGGATCCCAGAATTGTTATGTGCACAACTTTTTTGACAATTTCATGCTGTTATTATATAGCGTCCTAGTGCTGGGTATACTTAAATTCATTACACTACTTTTTCTGAGGTACGTCTGAAAGGAACACTAACAAACAGGTGCACCACACTAGAAACTCTCTCAAGCTCCTGTTCTAAAAGGAATCGTCCACATCGACAAGCACATTTTACGACTGCATGTAGCTATTTTCAGTACCACATGTAGTCGAATGTTGAAACTGAAGGGGGTTTCATTCAACCATTTTTAATGCCTAAGTCAAGTCTATTTGCGAATCAAAAATGCACGGGAGTTGTCTGTAGCTGTCCGTTTTTGCTGGCAGAGTACAAGGTATGACATGCAGGAGCAATTTAATGTATTAAAAATGTCCTATCCTATTGGTGGCAAGCCCGCTAGTCGACGGCTGCGGCGAAGCTCATACTGTTCCGGTTTCGTTGTTAGTAGACAGTTTCCCTTTGGTCTCGCTTGGCAGTAGCTGGCTTACCCTGCACCTTCTACCACAATTGTGACGATGAAATGGGTTTATTTACAGTATGGAGGATGAGTGCGAGAGGTGCAGCTCAGAGCGAAAAGCAGTTGACCGAGCTGATGATGATGATGATGACCTCATATGGATAGCGCTCACCCACAAAGGGAGATGGTTAAAAAAAAACAGAACAACAGGATGATTAAAGTAATGAAATAAAACCAGTCTTAGAAATTAGTGAAGAGATAAAAATTAGAATAAATAAAAATGCTTACTGAGAAGCCTTCAAACCATCGCTGTTTCCTGGTGGAAATAACTTCGAATTACAAACTAAAAATCTGAATAGGTGAGGATAGACTATTGTGGTAATCTTTATGTTGCTTTGAGGTAGTCAAACACAGCAGAGCCTATATCCCTGTGGCAGTAACCTAATAAAATGCCACCAAGTGATATATAGTTACTGTAACATTCACTAATATTGCTAACTTCTGCTATGGGGCTTCTGGAAATCATTTTCTAGAAACCCCATTTCTGGAATATCGATGACAGAATAGAAAGAAATATTAAGTTTTTTAATTTTGTTGTATAAAATGCACAATGGGGATGCCATGAGTCCAGCTTTGTTTAAGTAATAATTTGGTTGTGGAACTGCACAGCGCAACCTGAAATAAGGAACTTCTTACTGGCGAGATACACACCGCTGTTTATTCCAGCAATGCCTTAAATGCTCAAAATATTAAGATTTATTCATTGATAATTTACCTATTTCACATTGCAAACAAGCATTTCTGAACATTAGCATTGTCACGTAAGCCGTATCTGGTAAAACTGGTATGATGGGTCTGCTCAGGGATACTGCCGCTAAAGAGTCCGCAATTTCACTTAAATATAATCCACAGTGGCCTGGTAGTCATAGGAAATGAAGTTTTTTTCGCGCTTTTCGGTATTAAATCACGAAACATATTCATCAGTTCTAAATTTTTCTACCGCAGAAAGTGCAGTAAATACTGATCATGATCTGTAATGATCACTGCTGCTGATTCACTTGAGGGCATTTTGCGAAGGGCTAGAACAATAGTCAATAATTCTGCAATGAATAGAGGGGCAAAATCTGGGAGTTGAATTGAATAAGACCAGTTAAGAGAAAAAAGAAAATGCCAACGTCAGCCTTTTCTTTCGACACAGATGCATCAGTGTTCATTATATTGCTTATCTCCAGGTGAGCTAGATAATCTACTAACTGGTCTTTTGAATGCCTATGTGGTAATTTTTTCGTATTATGAGGAAATATATCATCAAATTGTATTGTAGTGACAAAAATACGGGCTTGCTAGAGACGACGAAGAAGACGTTTGTTGTGGCAGAGGCTCGTGCTGCTGCAGCTGCTGCTACAACCGCTGGCTGCTGTCTCGCTGCTGTTCGGCCCATTAAACGGTTGCATCACCCCGGCGTGGCGTCTAACAGTATTCTTACATTTGGTGGAGAGTGCTGGTTGTCTCAAACTGGAACTCCGTTCCCGGACTCTACCTCAACCCCCCGCTTCGCCAATGCCTGACGACATGACCCAGCCACCTGCATTCATAATCCCATCCGTCACCTGTTCCGGAATGCCACGACAACGAGATCCAGTAATTTTCAACGCGACCGACGACCAAGATGCCGAAGACTGGCTGTCCCAGTATGAAGCGGTAAGCGCCCACAATAAGTGGGATGACACCGACAAGCTCGCTTACCTTAATTTCTATCTGGCGGGTGTAGCAGAACTGTGGTTTAACAATCACAAAGCGGAAATACCCTCTTGGTCAACCTTCAAGACGCGCTTTGCAGAAGTCTTTGGCCGACCCGCTGTTCGCAAGCTCCGCGCCGAACAGCGCTTGCGCAGCCGCGCACAGCGCTCTGGCGAGACCTTTACCTCGTATATTGAGGATATTCTGGACCTCTGCCGTCGTATCGATTCCCACATGTCTGACACTGACAAAATACGGCACATCATGAAAGGTACCGAGGACGACGCCTTCCATATGCTCGTTGCAAAAAACCCGCAAACGGTCGCTCAGCTCATTCAACACTGTCAGAGTTTCGACGAGCTGCGGAGAGAGCGCATTTCTACTCGACGTCCAAACCTCGACACGAGCTCTACATCTGCGTTAACCATTGGCGCTGATTCATCCGAACAAAGCACGTTAATGCAGTAAATTCAGCAGTTCGTCCAAGAAGTGGCGCGCCAATTGTCTCTTGTGCCGCACATTCCGGCCAGTGCGCACACGCTGACCCCAACGCTCCGCAAGACAATCGAAGAGCAAGTTTCTGACGCCCTAACTCCCACATACCATCTTTCGCCCATCTCCGCCCCTCTCACTTACGCTGAGGCCGCTAGACGATTGCCGCCGTCGCTACCAAACGCCACGGATCTTGCTAGACAGCCCCGTCCCATCTACGGAGCAAGTCCCCCTGTCCGTCCCCACCCACCTCCTGTTCGCCACCCCGCGCTACCATCAACTAACCCTTGGCGCACTCCGAACAACAGGCCAATTGGCTACTTCTGCCATCTTCCCGGTCATGTAGCACGCTACTG